TTCTGCTCACGTGGAAAGAACGTTAAACGGAGGCAGGGGGCCTAGCTTCCAATTTTGGTTGTGTCAGGGATCCCCACAGCAAGTCACTAGCTTTCGCTAGCCCTCAGTTTCCTCATTTGTGAAACCAGGGCTGATTGGTGAAGTTTTCATACTTTTAGTTTTCAGCTCTGGCTTTTGGCTACTCTAGATAGCAAGGGGCAGCCTTTTTCATGTTAGTGCCTTTAAAGCACCCCCTCCATAAAGGCTAAATAAATAAATAATTTCTTTAAAGATTTTCTTTATTTATTTGACAGAGAGAGCACAAGCAGGGGGAATGATGGGCAGAAGGAGAGGAAGAAGCAGGCTCCCTGCTCAACAAGGAGCCCAATGTGGGGCTCGATCTGAGGACCCTGGGGTCATGACCTGAGCTGAAGACAGACGCTTAACCAACAGAGCCACCCAAGTGCCCCAAGGCTGCGTAACTGGTGGGTCACCCCCAGTTCATAAAATGAGAAACTCATGTAAACACTAAATAAGTACTTTGGCCAAGCTTCTGGGCATAGCGTATGCACGCATGTGCGTGTGTGTGTATGTGTGTGTGCATGCATGCAGGGTCGTATGGGACTCTCGACTTTTTCCAGTTTTAGTATATGTGCCGCCGAAGCGAGCACAGGACTGTCAATGCTTAATTATCTGTGTGTTTACTATCTCCTCTGTGAGTGACCCAGGGCAAAGGTATGACCTTCTAGTTGGATGTCCTCTTGTCCCTCTGCACTCTCCCATCCAGAACCAAAATGTCCCCTGCTGTGTTCAGTAAGATCTGTTCAAATTCTGTCCTTCGAAGGGCACCTGGGTGGCTCAGTGGGTTAAGCGTCTGACTCTTGATTTCGGCTCAGGTCATGATCTCAGGGTCCTGGGATCCCCTCCCTGCATCAGGCTCCACAGTCAGCGGGGAGTCTGCCTGAGGATTCTCTCCCTCCACCCCATCCCCCTTCCCTCTCTAAAACCAAACCAAATAAAAAACAAAGACTGTCCTTTGAGGAGGAGATGAAAGACACAAGACACTAGTCTTGCCCTCGTGGAACTTCTGGTCCGTCTAGGAAGCTGGGATAAAAATGTGTGGGGAAAGTATGTGCAACCCTCTGTAAAGGGAGTACCTGGGAGCCAAGTGCTGCTTTGCTGTATCTCCACCTACAACAGTAGGAAATATGGGAAAATGGCCATGGTTTCCAAACTTTTTATTTTATTGATTTTTATTTAAATCCAATTAACATATAGTGTATTGTTATTTCCTGTTTAGTAGGTAGAGTTCAGTGATTCGCCAGTTGCATGTCACACCCAGTGTTCATTACATCACATCCCCTCCCTAATGCCCATCCCCCAATTACCCCAGTCCCCCAGTCCCCCTCCCATCCCATCCGGCAGCCCTCAGTTTGTTTCCTATGATTAAGAGTCTCTTATGGTTTGTCTCCCTCTCTGGTTTCGTCTTGTCAGACTACTCATTTTAAAGAAGGGAAAACCGTTCTTCGGTGAGATTTGACCTCAAGCTCACCACGAAACGGACAGACAGCTGCTGTGCTCCCTGGCGAAGGGAGCTAGGGTCAAGCCCCGCCAGCTGTCTCCTCTGGACCCCAGAGAGGTTCTTCAGCGCCCAGTTGGAAAACTTGCCATAGTCACTGGAAAAGGATGTGCAGATCAACCCTGCCGCATGGGGGATACTAGCATAAACAAACAGTGGTTTGAAGCACCAGGCACTCCAAAGGGAATATTTGCATCTGACAAAGTGTTGTCCGTCTCTCCTGTCCCCTCCTTGTGGGCAGCCCCAAGTAGTGAGAGCAGAGGGAAGGAAGTTTGGAGTAGGAGGCTTTTGAGTTGGTCCACAAATGTATATTGTGATAATGTTCGTTCACTTTAAATAAAGGAAAGAAAGCCATTGTGGTAATGTCTTCCAGAATTCCACAGAAGCCCCTTTGGTGTTATCCTACAGGCAGTCCTGATATGCAGATACAATAGAAAACTCTTATGGAGTCTGTCTGGTAATTGAGTATGTGGCGCTGCGTGGTTTTGGTCCCAGGGCACCCTGCATCACCCGGGCAGCTGTTAACGTTCCTGGCGAAATTCATGGTCATCTTTAGGCACACACAGATGCCGAAGGGAGCTACCTGTTGAGAGCATCTCTACTCCACGCCTGCTGGACTGAAACCCGCTGCCTGCCTTGCCTTGGCCTTCTTGCCACCTCCAACCCCAGTGGACAAGGGAGGGAAAACAACCCAGAGGATGCTTGCTTACTTGTCAAGGGGGTCCAGGGAACAAGGCTCATCTCAGAACTGCATCTGGAAGACAACTGGCAGTAACCAACATCTTTTTAAAAACTTGTCAAAGGGAGAAAGATCTTGGATTAAGTTTTCATCATTATCCATCTCGTGGCCCTTTCATTACGTCTCATTACCGGCCCATTACCTACAGACTGTCCCTCCTCAAAGGTGTCAAAAGGGGCAGACAGATAATGTTGGGGACCCTGCTATACACTGAATGTTTGTGTCCCCCGCATTCATATGTTGAAATCTAATCCCCAGTGTGATGGTATTTGGAAGTGTGGCACTGGGGGGGGTGATTAAATCAAAAGGGCTCTCACTCTTATGAATGGAATTAGCATGCTTATGAAAGAGAGCCTGGAGAGATCCACGCTTCCACCATTTGAGCACACAGCCAGGGAAGATGTCTGTCTATGAACTGGGAAGAGGGCCCTCACCAGACACCAGATCTGCTGGAATCTTGATCTTGTTCAGCCTCCAGAAGTGTGATAAATAAATTTCTGTTTCTTATAAGCCACCCAGTATATAGTATTTTATTATGGCAGCCTGAATGGACTAAGACTGAGCCCATTCAACAGCAGGGCAATTTGAAGGGTGAAAGGAGCTTCCTTTAGTATTTTACTGGGAGCCCCAGCTTCTCCTCCACTGCCTAGCTTGGCCATCTCCTTCCCTCTTGTCCAGTCCCCCGACTTCTCTATCTTCAAAATCTAGCTCTTGGAGCGCCTGAGTGGCTCAGGTCATGACCTCAGTGTCCTGGGATCAAGCCCTGCATCAGGCTCTCTGCTCAGCGGGGAGCCTGCTCCCCCCTCTCTCTGCCTGCCTCTCTGCCTACTTGTGATCTCTGTAATAAATAAAATCTTAAAAAAAAAATCTAGTTCTGGCCTGACCCTGATGAGGACAGCAGTCTAGCCGCCCCCGCCCTTCTGCTACTGCTGACTTCACCCCCTTGTCCAAGCCACCAACCAACACCTCCCCGCCCCCAGCATCTGGACTAGTCTTTTACTAAAGTGGTTGAGTTGCTATCATGAAATTCAGTCTTAGGATAGAAGTCACTGAAGGCGAGGGCTGGAGAGAACCTTGATGATCAGGAGAAACTAAGGCCTGAATGGAGGACTTGCCTAAATTCTCTTCGCAAGTCATGGCAAAGCTAGAGCTGCAAGCCAAGTTTTCCTTTGAGCGCCTTATGCCTTTATGGCTACATCCTGAGCTCCTTGGTTTCTTTTCTTGGTCTCTTTCCCCCCCACTGTCCCCAGCGTTCCTCTCCCCTCTGACCCTTTCCCCAGTCCTGTCTCTCTAGAGGGAGGCTCTAGAAATCGCTGTACACGACAGTGTACTTTTTTTTTTTTTTAAATTTTGGTGTTGTTTCGAGGGATTAACGACCTAAAGAGACACAGAGCCCTGACAGAGACCTATGATGCCCAGCTCTGAAACATAACTTGATCCCGACTAAGGTCATCCCTGACATGTATTCAGAACCCCAAATATCGGTTCCTAGAGTTTAGGTCATTTGCCCAAGGTCCGTCAACTAAGAGATGGCCACAGCGGGAGCTAGCAGGAGGTCTTCAGGCGCTGCGGGGGACGCTGGGCCCCTGAGCGCGGCTCCAGGCACCGCTCAGAGCCTGCAGGCTGTGGAGGCTCCGGCAGCCAGAGGCAAGCCCAGACCCCGCTCCCCTGCTCTCAGCAGCAAGGCCCCAGGGGACATGCGTTATTTCTTTAGGTCTTGAAGCCTCTTCGTTTTGTGCGTGTGGCTCCCGTCAACTTCTGGGTGGGGAGAGATGGCGTGAGCAGTTCACATGGGCCTTCTGGAAGGAAGCGGGGCATCCTCGAGGCAGCCCAGCTATAGTGAGCCCAGCACACCGGCCTGAACACAGCCCTCCCCCACTGCGCGCCGGGGCCGAGACCGCGGCGCTCCGGGGCAGCGAAGCTGGAGGCAGCTCCGCCTGCAGCTCGAGCGCGCCGGGACGCGCGGACTTTCCCCGGAGGAGCGCTCTTGGTTCCGGTCCCGCCTGCCGGTCGCCTACGCTCCCAGGGGACCCGCTGATCCCCGCGGAGTTCTTGTGGCCGCGCCCCCTCGTGGCTCCCCCCGGAGCCCCTCTCGTGCCCCCCATCCCCCCTGCCCAGGGCCACGTGCCGCAGGTTTTGGCGCTGGCTGGAAAGACGCGAGTCGCGGGGCACGCGAGGCGCCACCCCTGGGGCCCGTCCGGCAAGCGCATCTTCCTGACGGGTCCCTCGCGGTCCAACCCAACTCTCCCCGGCCCGCCGCTTCGGTTGGCTCCCAGCACAGAAGCGCCTTCGGACGACCACACTCACTAACTTTGGGGGGGAACTCCCCGGGGAAGGTGGCTAGGGACCCCGAATGTGAGCAGCCGGGACGCGGCTCCCAAGGCTCACGAGCCGCGGCCGGAACTAGAGAGAGGGGGGCGTGTGGGCTTCCCGGGGACCGTCCCAGCACGCTTCCCTCCGCAGACGTCAACCGTCAACCGCAGCCCCTAGGCGGGCGAGCCTTCCGCGTCTCAGAGATCTTGCGGGCTGCGCCGCTCGGGGTCTTTGCGTCTCGAGGGATGGGTTGGGGGCGGAGGGACCGCCGGCGAACGGCTGGCTGAGGGGACCTGTTTGCCCGCGGCTTTGAAGGTGGGATCGAGTAGGGTCCGCTGACGGAGAAACCCAGGAGAAGACTTCGGGTTTGTTTGTTTGTTTTTTCCCTTCCCTCTCCTCAGAAAAGCAACCACATCGTGGGGTGTGGGAATAAAGAGGAGAATAAACACAAACAGCCTCAAAAAGACGCCAAGAAAAGCGAAGTCAAAAGAAGCAATCGCAACACTGTTACAAAACTGTCTGGTTTTGTAACAATTTCCCTGCAGCCGGCCAATGAGCGGCGTGGCGGCGCGTCACGTGGTACTGTTTTATATAACACTTCGCTGAGACAGGACAGTTATCAGTCGGCGCGGGGCGGCCGGCGTGGTGCTCGCGGAGGCGCGGCAGCGAGCGGTGCGCGGTAGCGCGGCGGTGGCTGTCCGAATTCTCTTCAGTCCCTGCTTTCTGCTCTGGGTCTCTGGCCCCTAGACGCCTCTTCCCTGCGCGCCTGTCTCTCTCTCTATGGATTCACTCCAGACCGGACAGATGCTGAGCGTGTCCGCCGAGCTCGGCGGCAACAACTTAGAACTGGCGGAGCCGGCGGCATCCGCCGCCCGCGCCGACATGGGCCCCCAGCCGGGGGCGGCTACGGAAGGCTCCGCTCCTTTGGCCATTCGGGAGCCGGAGCCGGAGGAGCCGCCTCCGAGTCCCTCGACCCCCGAGTACAAAGTTCTGCTCGAGCAGGCTGACGCCCTGGCGTCCGGGGGCCGCCTCCGGGAAGCCTTCGAGGTGTACCGACAGCTCTCCGAGCGGCAGCAGCTGGTGGCCGAGCAGCTGGAACAACTGGTGCGCTGCCTGGCCCAGAACGTCCCGCAGGGCGAGGCGCTGCCGCCGGCGCCCCCGGACGGGAGCGGGGCGGCGAGCTGTGAGGCGGCGGCGGGAGAGGCAGGGGCGCCAGAGGCCGCCGCGGCCGCCGCCGCCACCGAGGTGTGGGACGGCTTCAAGTGCAGGAAGTGCCATGGGTTTCTGTCAGACCCCGTGTCCTTGTCGTGCGGCCACACCTTCTGTAAGCTGTGCCTGGAGCGCGGGCGGGCAGCCGACCGGCGCTGCGCCCTGTGCGGGGTCAAGCTCTCGGCGCTGACGGTGGCCGCCGGGAGGGCGCGCGCGGTCCGGCGAGTCGAGCCACAGGCGGCGGCCGATGCCGCGCCGCCGCCGCCGCCGCCGCCACCGCCGCCACCGCCGCCACCGCCGCCGCCGCCGCCGCCACCGCCGCCGCCGCTACGGGTCAACGTGGTGCTCAGCGGCCTCCTGGGCAAGTTGTTCCCCGGCCGCGCACGGGCGTCGCAACTCCGGCACGAGGGCAACCAGCTGTACCGCGAGCACCAGGTGGAGGCGGCGTTGCTCAAGTACAACGAGGCGGTGCGCTTAGGTGAGCCCGCGGCGTCGCCCGGTCGGGCGGGGCGGGGGGCAAGGAAAGCGGCGGGGAGTTGGGGGGGGCGGACCGGGGCCCAGGGGTCGCGGGGGACCGTTGGTGGGTGGTGGGGGGAAACGGGCCGTGACTGGAGTGTGGGAGGGGTGTCTGGAGTCCGGACTCTGACTTGGTCTGGGTCGCTACCCATTTCTCGCCCTTTCTCTGTGTCCCAGTCTGTCCCTGTCGCTCTTTGTCTTTTTCTGTGTCTCCCCGTGGCTTGGATTCCCGAGTCTCTCCGTCAGCTTTTGTCTGGGTCACCGTTTCTCTGTCTCTTTCGCGGGCCTTTCGCATCTTTGTGTCCCCCCTCCTTCCCCCCCCCATTCCTTGCGTCGGGTCGCGCGGTGCCAGAGTCTGTCCCTCCGCCCTCTCCCTCCGCGCCGGGGCTCCTCTTGCACCTGCCCGCACCTTCTCCGCGGGCAGAGGAACTTCTCACCCTGCACACACTGGCGCCGGGGCCGGCCCGCGACGTTCGGTCGGCGCGGGCGTCTGCGGCCCGCGCCCGGACCCGGGGCCCCCGCGATGGCGGGAATCGGCCCTTCCGGGGCCGCGGCTCCCGGTGGGGTGGGTCCGGCGTGGAATTAGGTCAGGAGAGCACTGGTTGCATAAGGGCGGCGAGCGGCCCGGGCCGGGCGGCCCCTCCTCCGCGCGGGCGGGATTGTGTAACGGCTGAGGTAACCGAAGTGGGCCACGCTCGCCTCGGAAACCATCCCGCGAGCGTGTGCGGGGGGAGGGGAGCGTTCGCGCCCCGCTGCCCTGTGACTCATTGTCACCGCTTCCTATCACACGATCCTCGGCTGAAATAGATGCCCCCCCACTCCGCCCGCCCGCCGGCAGCGCCCTTTCCTCGCACCCCTACCCCGCCAACCCGGCGGGCGACCGGGCGGCGCAACTGCTCGGGAATCCCCGGGGACCGTGGGCTGGCCACGGAGGGGGGCGCGTCTCGGTCCCCTGCTGCCGCGGGCTGCGGGAGGACGGACGGGTGGGCTCGGCTGCTTCAAGGGCAAAGTGGGCAGCCCCACGGTTCTGGCCGCACCGGGGCGCCCGAGCTCCCTCGAGGAGCCGCTCCCGCCAACCCTCCGCGTCCCGACCCAGGAAGCGGCTGCCGAGCTGCGGGCGGGTAGTGCCCAGCTCCGGCCAGTCGCCCGGAGCTCGGCCGGGGCGGGGCGCGGCGTCCGGCGAAGCGAGCCGGGGAGGAGGCGGCAGGGCGGGGCAGACCGGGCTCTGGAGATCCCAGGGCGCCCTGAGCCCAACTCCGACGGGTGGAGGCGGGGGAGGGCTTGAGGCTCCACGTGTTGACTTGCTACCCGAATTTGCAACAGGTAGTAGGGGAGGGGGAGGAGCGCGGGCTGGCGGTGCAAGGTTGCCAGGCGAGGTAAGAACCCCCCGCCCCCACGCACATCCTGTGTGCAGGCAAGGCGCGGTGGGAGCCGGCACGGGGCTGGCGAGTGCCGCCGATCAAAAGGGAAGGCATACATTCTAAACTCTGCTAACGTCTGGACAGCGGGTAATGGGGACCCAAGGAAGTCCTCTGCACGGCCCTGGGGGAAAATCCCGCGAACTGTGTTGGAGCCCAGTCCCTGGGCAGGAGCGGGGCAACCTGGAGACAATGGAGGTCACTTAAACCCAGATCTCCAAGCGAGGTCCCATTCTTTTTAGCCATACCTCAAGGGCCAGGAGAGCCCCTTCCCACTGTCTTCCTCCCCCTTTGTTGCTGCCACCCCTTTTCCACTGGGAGTTTCTTCCTTCACCTCTGTTAATCTGAGCCGTCAGGGTGAAAAAAATCGTGACAGCCTTACCTTTTTAAGAGGTAAGGGGCCTCCCCAGCAGGTGAGTATCTCTGCGCTGAAAGATGGCCAGTGTCCCCTTATTATTCTGTGTAGTGCACACCCTTCAGAAAAAGGAACATGTCCCCCGCCCCAACTTCAACGCTTCCAAGGTCTGACCCGCTAGCTGTATGATTTGGAGCAGATGCCTTCTGCTCCCTGGGCTTGATTTTCCTCATCTGAAGAATGGGTTGGTTGAACCAGGCGATCTCTAAAGGCCTGTCCAGCCCTGGCATCTAGCGATTCAAAGTGTTAGTGAGAGCCAAGCTCACTTCATTCCCAGCAGACTTGTTCAGGTTCATTCACATTTGGCCATCTAATGAGAGGACAAAGCCTTGCAAGTGCATTCAGAGAACTTCATAGGCACTGGGCTTGGTAGACAGAGGTGTTGCTAATGTCATGAGTAGACTAACCTGGACTTCCTGGTGGGCAGGCTGGGGGTCACATCTGGCCACCTCCCTTTCTCTCCTCCCTGGCCTATTTCCTCATGGGTGATACCTCCCTCAGAAGCCAGGCTGCCCGTGGGTAGCCATGCATAGCCGCGATGGAGGGGGCCAGGGTTGCCCCATGTCAGAGCGGCTAATGCACCGCTGACCCCACAGGCCCACTAAAGAACCACTTGAGAAAGAAGCAAAAATCACTTCTTTATGGGGTGCCTGGGTGGCTCAGTTGGTTAAACGTCTGACTCCTGATTTCAGCTCAGGTCATGATATCAGGGTTATAAGATGGAGACCTGGGTGTGGAGCCTGCTTGGGATTCTTTCTCTCCCTCTCCCACTGCTCCTCCTCTCTCTGTCAAAATAAATAAATGAATGAATGAATGAAAGTAAACATACTTAAAAAAATATTTCTGTATAGTTGGGAAAGCTCAGACCCAGAGTGGCTGGGGAGCAGGGGGTAGTGTGGCAGGCAGGGCAACATCAGGGCTGGAAATGGAGCCTAACCCTTTGGATCCCCAGTAGAAAAATCCTAGATAACTTGCCATTTGCTCAAGATCCATTCTCAGTAGAGGATTTAGGTTTTTGCCCTGGGACTACTAATGAGAGCTTTTTTTTTTTTTTTTTTTCCTCCTCATTCTGGCAGCTCCAAATGACCACTTGCTTTATAGCAACCGGTCTCAAATTTATTTCACCTTGGAGTCTCATGAGGATGCGCTGCATGATGCAGAAATAGCATGTAAGCTCCGCCCACTGGGTTTCAAGGTGAGTGGAATGGGAGGGCTGGGCATGGGCTGTGCTATAGACGGGAATTGGCAGGAACGGCTGCCTTCTTGAGGGTTTGGGGCACTAGAGCTCAAGCAGAGCAGGGAAAAGGCTCTGCTAAGGAGCTGGGGATCCCTTGGCTAAGGGTGACTCAGAGGTCTGCAAGGGAACTGGATTCTTCCCCACTTTACTTCTTCACCCGATGACCTGCTGAGCAGCTTAGGCTTTGTGACTCTTCGCACATGGACTTGGCAGTCAGACTGCCTGCGTTTATGCCCCAGCTCTGCTCCTTCCACCAGCTGTGTGGCCCTGGGCAAATTGCTTAACCTCTCTGTGCCTCATCTCCTCGTCTATAAAATGGGGGGGAGTATTTAAAGCACCTACTTTACAGGGTCCTCCGTGAGGATTACGTGAGCTAATATATGTAGGATACCTAGAACAATGCCTGGCACATAGCATTATATGGTCTGTCATTTTCAGGGACAGTAGAAAGAGGAACGTGAGAGAAGTATTGCTGGCTGATTGTGTTATTTCGAGTCCTTCATATAATCAGCCTGCTTGTATCCCCAAACATCTAGGTCACACGAAGGGTGGTTGGAGAAAGGCTAGACACCTCTCAGGTTGCTAGGAAGCAAAGTGTCACTTTCTGTATCTCTGCCCTCAGGACTGGCCCTTAGCCATGTGTCCATATTTTGTTTAGGAGATTAGGTTTGAGCCTGGGCTCTACTACTTGCAAGTTAAGTTGCCATGGGGAAGTCGCTTCACTCTCTGGATCCCAAAGGTCCTGGGTTGCAAAGCATTGCTATTGCTGTCTCCCCGGTTGCCTCCTGGGGAATGTGGTGTGAGGGTCACAGGTGAGCGTGATCGAGAGGCCATTCTGGGAGCTCTGCCATTTGCGGGGCCTTGGTGCTATTCTCTCTACACAGCCCCCAGGATGCCACCTCGGAAACCCACCTTACCCAGGTTCTGATCTGTGATCCTTATCTGAATCCCATGGGGCCAGAAGTGTTCAGGGTCCAGAATATTTCTGATTTCAGAAAGACCCACATACTAGGTGGCACCCTCTGGGAGTTCTGGACAACATCCCACAATCATACACACTAATATTTCTGCCGTACCTTACGTGAAAATTCACACTAAATGAGATGAAGACTATGACGTATCTTATATCACATATATTTGCCACCTAATAACTTTTGACGCCGAGCTTGTAAAACTTTGGACTATCAGACTGTTTCTGGAACTGGGAACCTCAGATAAAGCATTTGTGGACCTGCGCGCTGGGCCATTAGTGTCAGAGTGAAGGTCTTATGTACTTTGATGAGAAGGTTTTCATGGGTTATGGCAGAGTAGTATGTGCTCCTTCCCAAGGGATAGATTTACGGTTTACTAAAAGTCACCAGTGTCTGACCCAAAGGAGCTTCAGTGAGAACATATCATGCTTTATAGCAGTGCAGGTCGGGAAGCTGCCTGGGGGTAAGACTTCCCTTGCAGCTTCTTCTGCTCCCACCCTAAACCTAGGGCCTAAGGGCGGGAGCCTTCATAGTACAGTGAGAAGCAGGGCTAAGAAGTAGCGGACCATTTCAGATGAAATGGGAAAAGTGACTTCCCCAGTGGAATCAGAGTTGGTGGAAGTTGTAAACAGGAGTTTCATTTCCCCAAAGTGCTGGGGTAAGCGGAGAGGCAGTGCAGAGAACAAATGGTATTGTCTTGAGGGTTGAGAGAAGATTTGATTCAAAAGATTTGATTCAAAGAAGATATGATTCAAAACCAGCCCATACCCCGATTTGCGTACTTCTCATCATTTCTGTGTGCAATGCCCCTAGGGGCGAGGTATACCTCCTACAGCCCTAGTCCAGCCAGGTGCCGTGGTATTCCAACATATCCTGCAGGTGGCACAGCTCTCAGTGGGTGGGCTGGCTGTCCCAAGCAAGTGGAATATGTGGGTTGCTATTTGCTATGATTGGAGGGGTCCTAGAGGCCTCTCCTATCTCCCAACACTTATCCCCTCTAGCTGTCCTGAAATGTCATACAAGCCTTTCTCCAGGGGGCCCCTGGTAAATGGTGCTGGGAGGAGCAATGAAGGAAGCCATCGTTGTATCATCATACCCAAGTATCAGCCAAGATTAGGCTCCAGGAAGAGGGTGGGGGGCACAGGGGAGGACCTCAAGAGGTTTGGAGCAGAGGCCACAGCTCAAGAAGGCAGATCCCTGCCTATGGAGCCTGTAGCCAGGCCAGAGCCAGAGGACACCACCCCAGGGTCTGTAGAAGCATGTTAGGAGGGGAAGATGGGAGTGCCCAGCAGGTGCAACCTGGATCGTTTTCTTCTTTAAGTTAGATTCAGGGTCAGCCATAGAGGCAAGAGAGTGGGGAGCAGGCCCCCGAGGGGCACCCTAGATGACTCAAGAGCAATGCCCTCCCAGCCAAGTTGCAACGGCCACCTGTCTCAAGGCACGGAGAGAATGTTGCCATCTTTCCACCTCTTTTTTTGTTCCTCCCTCTTCCCCAGGATGCTCTTCTGCTACCTCAAGACTTTCTCTGCTGGGATAGTTGGGCGGAGACCTCGGAGAGCCCTAAAACTTCTTTATACTTTTTTTTTTAAGATTTGTCTATTTATTAGAGAGAGAGAGAGAGAGAGAGAGAGAGAGAGTGCACACATGCAAGGTGGGGGGAAGGGGCAGAGGGAGAGAATGTTCTAGCAGACTCCCACCAAGTGGGGAGCCTGATGCAGGGCTAGATCTCACAGGCCAGGAGATGAGGACCTGAGCCGAATCCAAGAGTCAGATGCTTAACCAACTGAGCCACCCAGGTGCCCCAAAATCTTCTTTATACTTTTTAAAGGTGTGGGAAGGGAACAGTGAACAATGAGCTGAGCCCATAGGAGGGAAAGCATTTGCTCAGTCTCTGGTTGGCCCTCTGAAGGGAAATCAGCTTTGCGGGGAAGAGCATTCTGGAGGTCCTACACCCCAGTTCTAGTTCCAGCTTTGCCGCTAACTATACCTTGAGGTCTTGGGGAGGTCATGTCCTTTCCTTGGGCCTCTTCTGAAAAATGATCAGCAAGTATAGGCGATCATTCAGCCAGTAATGTGGACTAGGTCTTTGCCTGACAGACTAGTTAATAGAAAGGCCTATCTGGGTGGGTTCTGGAAGCTGGATAGTATGTGCTTAAATGAGGGTTCTTGCTCTGTTTGGCAGTGCCCCCACTACAACAGTGGGGCAGCGGGGAGGTCATATGGCACAGTGGTTAAGAAACTGGACTTTGGTATCAGCCAGTCCCAGACTTAAACCCTGAGTCCACAATTTACTAGCTGTACTACCTTTGGGCAAATCACTTTTCTGGGTCTCGGTTTCATCTGTAAAATGGGCTTCAGAGCATTTGCCTACATGATAGGGCTGTAGAGAAGGCAGTCCTTCTAAAACCCTTCACACAGTAACGACTGCTCATTAAGTGTTCGGCTAGGGTCAATAAGTCAGTAGGTGAATAAGAACAGGACTGAATGCTAATGTTTTCTTCCAGGCACACTTCAGAAAAGCACAAGCCTTAGCCACCTTAGGCAAGGTGGAGGAAGCACTAAGGGAGTTTCTGTATTGTGTGTCCCTGGATGGAAAGAACAAAAGAGCAAGATCTGAAGCCCAGAGGGTGAGTTGAGATGATGTCAGGTCCAGCTGCCCAGTGGGCTCCCACTTCTCTGTCTTCTCCAAAGAGGGAAGTGAGGGAACTGCCGTCCCTGGCATTTAGGGCCCTGAGTGGGTGGCTCCCTTGGTTAAGGGGGCAGGAAGGAGACACAAGAGCCAATTGTCTAGAAACACCATCCTCTTGGCATGTGCAATCCAATGGAGCCATTCCTGCATTTTTGGAGGAGCCTCCGAGGAATACTCTTGCTTCTTCGAGTCCAGGTCTGGGTTGTGAGTAGGAAAACCACCCAAAGCAAACCAGACAAGTTAACATGGGGGTGGCGGCTCACTGATGAGGATCTGGCTGTTGATGGAGAGGTCAGGGCTGCGGGGCGGCCCGGAGTTGTAGAACTTTGCTTTGGCTGAGTCACAGCTTCACCAGCCCCACCGGGTGAGCTCCTCGCCAGGAATGCTGGTCACCATCTCCCCTGCTGTATGCAGAACTCTAGCCTTCAGCCTTCGCTAGAAATAGAACACACACTGTCTCACGAATGTAAGTCAGGGACCATGACGATATAATCCAAGCCATCATTCCAACTCTTGAATCCCCAGAGAATGTGGTGGTTTTGTTTCGTTTTGTTAATTCATGAAACATCAGCCCTGCTGAAGGCCTCAAGCGTCCCCAGCTTGGGGAGCGCAGTGCTTTCTACTCCACAGTGTGCTTTTGCGGTGGGGCTAACTGGCCCGGAAGTCAGATGCTGAGAATCAGTGGTGGCCTCTGCCCTCCTTGTGCCCCTCCCCCTGTCCACCACCTGTCTCAAGTGCCTCTGTCCCAGCGAGGTTTGGCAGAGCCATGGGTAAAGAAAGGGAGCAAGAGAAGGATTGCTTTCCGAAGGTTCCAGAAAGGAATCTTTAGCAACATCACTGAACTAGGAGAAGCCGAGCTCTGGAGGTTGTGCCTTGCACAGATTTCTTCTCTGGAAGGTTGCTTTGACCTGGTTTGGAAAAGTGGACAAGGTGTCCTTGAGAGGAGTACTGGTGGCTGAGAATTGCTCCAGGCTGGGAATCTTAAGTGTGGTCCATGGTGTAAATAATAATAATAATAATAATAGCACCTAACATTTATCCAGCATTTGCAGTGCACCAGGCACTATGCTAGGGCTTTCTGTGGAGGATGTAATTTGACCCCCCACAGCATTCCTATGAGGGTAGCTGCTGTTACTTATCCCCACGTTACCGAGGAGATAGATGAGGAAGCTGAGGCTTGATGACTTCCCGAGATCCTGCAGCTGGTGATTGCTGAAAAGGCATGTAAGCCCAACTCCATCTGCTTCCAGGGTCTGCCTTCTGAGCCATTCCACCATTCTTCCGTCCCAGGAGGACATGCCAGGGGGCTTGGTGCTCACTGCTGGGGTGGGGTGGAGAGTAGCAGTGGGACCATCCGGTTGGGGGTGGGGGATGACCAAAGGTTGGTTAGAAGAATCTTGACTTTGGGGGCAGAGCGTGCAAAGGCCAACAGAGGTAGGGGTCAGATCCAGGGGCGAATGGTCTCTCTATTCCTGTTCATCCATTTCCTACTTGGCCTGAGAGGCTCTGGTGTCATCAGCTGGGTCAACCTCTCTTGCCAGCCACTTTTATAGACCTGCTTAGTGTCACTTCCACAACCGCCTGACGGGATAGGGGCAAGTGTCATGCTAAGCTCTGGAGACCCAAAGAGGCATAAGCCACAGTCTCCGTCCTCAAGGACCCTCCAACCCCGCATGTGTTATACGGTGCACTAAAAATGCCGGACAACACAAGGGCGCATATGCCCATGATGAGTGTGTCCTGGAGTTCTGAAGGGGGGCGGAGAATTTAGAGGCGAATTTCCACTGACTGTGATGAGGCCATGGCAGCCGTATACGAACCCCGAGGGCCCTCGGCCTTTCTTACTTACTGTACCATTCCAGTTTCAGGGTTGAAGATTTGACAAAGGTGGTCCAGGTTCACTCGGCAGGAATCGGCCCCCTTAGGCACTCCCAGGCCTAGGTTTCTTTTTAGTGTTTGTTTTTTACCTCGGATTCTTTCTTTCCCCTTCTTGACCCATTCGGGTCTTTCTAAGGCTGACACCGAAGTGGAAATGACTTTCATTCGTGTGGAATGATTATTCTCACTCAGCGTTGACCCCAACTTTGGTTTTCCAAAGCCTCTGGGAAGGTCTAGAATGCGGTCTTAGGTAGTGAAGGGAAGAAGCGAAGTGCTGTTGCTGTTTCTGCCTTGTCTCCTTCAATTTCTCCCCTGTGCCCCCTTCCCACCCCCGTCCGTGCTCTGCCCTTTTAACCTTGTCCCTTGGGATGCTGTGCGGCTGCCACTGAAGAGCACCACGCTCTCTTTTCAAAAGTTCTTCTCTCAGTTCCGGTTAGTTAACACACACTGTTACCTCAGCTCCAGGTGTACAACACAGTGACTCAACACTTGCACGCATCAGCCGGGGCTCTTCCCGGCAAGCAAGCCCCGTGCTCTTTAGGTGGGAATCCTAGGGACACTGCTTCAGAAGGGGTTGGTCCTTTGGGCCCCTCAGGAGGGCTTCGGAAGGCCAGCTCTGGTTCCCGGGGAGGAGGGGCCTCTGAAAGCTGGCATTTGTGGCCCGGGGCACTGTGAGTACCTCACCGCCTCCCTCCTTTAGCGACACCTTCCACCTGGGAAGTGGGTTTCCCAGAGCTGGAAGGAAACTGCGATCTGTCTGAGGATTTGGGACTTGAACGCTTGGCCTCTGCCTGGGCCCTGGGATGGATAAGCGTCTTAATTCAGTTCCATCCGGGGTGATGAGTATGTACTGGACATGGGCATGGGCCTCCAGAAGCTGGCCACCTGCTTAGAGAGAAAGACTCAGGTGTGTGGCACGATCTGAGACTCGGGCGAGGCCGAGCAGTGTAAGGCGCTCCGTTATGGTGCAGCAGAGAACTTGAACGGACAAGTGACATCAGGGGGCCCAAGCTGATGCACTGGAGCTGGCGCTGGACACTGAGCAGGCTTTGGCTCTGTGGAAAGTGCTGACATCTCAAAGAGCCCCGTGAAGGCACTGCTAGGGGCCAGCAAGGGGACAAATTAAACCGGACAGAGTTTGGTCGGAGTCTCTGTCAGCCTCCCTTGATCAGTTCATACCCTGTTCCCCTGAGCAAGGGCGTGGAGCGCCCTTTGGTGGGTCTCCAGACACCGCAGCGGCTGCCCGGTGGTAAACACTTCCATGTGTGCTGGAAGCCAAGCGAGCTGCTTTCTTGTGTTTCGTGTTACATACAGTATGTCCACGCGTCTGTCTGTAACCCGTGCTGGCACAGGGGAGAATCGAAGCAAGAATGCGGGCAGCTCATGGGGAAGCCTGCACGAGAACACATATCCTTGACTCCCAGACCCTGCTGGGTCTTCTGTGTCTTCACCTGCCACCTCCCCCGCTCCCCACCTTCTCCAACCGCAAGGGAAACCGGCCCCAGACAGGAGCCTTCGTGCCTCCAGTACCTGAAGTTACCCAGCAGTCTCTGCACAGTGAAGGCCAGAATGGGGGAGGAGAGGCTGGGTTCTGCTCTTCCCACCACTTCACTGTGCAAGGGATTAAAGGCCCAAGGAGGGTGGTCCGAGGAGGAGGAGGCAGAATGGGCTGGTAGGGGGAAGACATGGAGGGACCTAGAGGATGTGTGTAGGCTTCTACCCACGGGGCTGCTATGGACGTGACAGGTTCGCCCATGTTGTTTGCCTCCTGCCTTCACCTCTCTGTGTCTTTCCTCCTGGATAGGTCTTGAATTCCCACTGCGGTTATTTCTATGGAATGGTAGCATGGGAGTGATGGCTCTTAACTTGGCTAGGATGACAAAGTCATCTGTGATGCCTTTTTGAGATCCAGATTCTAGGGCCACACTTTAGACCTGGGGGAGCCAGGCGTGGGAACTTGGAACCTGGGGGGTTCATTAGCTCCCCAGGTAGCTCTGGCGCACGCCAAACTGAGGCCCCCTGCCCTGGTACATTGGGGTCTCTGGTTCCAGGCTGCTTCCCTGGAGTTTCACCCTGCGAGCTGTGTCCCCTGCCCCTGTCTCCCCCTCCCCCACCCCCACCACCCAAGCACCTGTAGAAACATAAGCAGTGAAGTCTTCTGTTTTATGTCACAGCTTCTCCTTAGTTTCTTTTCACCATCAGTCCCGGGGGACTCTCAGGAACATTTTCCCGATATCCTGAAGTTGTTGGCACCTCACCCTAGATTAAAGGAACACGTAGAATCAATGGCTACTGAAGGCACCAGTCATAATCTACCAAAGTTGTCACAGGTAAAACTCAACTCACCCAGCTCGCTCGCGATGCTTCGTTTGGCTGTTGTGTGGGCAAACGTGGGAGTGAGCCCTACCTCTCCTTCGGTTCCTGAGAAGGAAGAAATGGATTCACTAGTGGTTGTGTTCTTTGCTAGAAGGTTATTTCTTACAGATAAAACCGGATTTCAGGCATGGTCCCGGGGGGGAGGTTGGTTTTATTACCTTCATTTTTTCAGTTCTTGGTCAGATCCAGCTGAGAGATTTGACAGAAGGAAAAAGGAGTTGGCCCGCTTCCCCTGGAACCATTCAATCCAGGCCGCTTTATCAGCTTAGGGGTGGAGCCTGGGAAGAGGCCTAACAACCCCTCCTTTCCTGCTTTTTTTGTTTGTTCAAGTTGCTGGTCTTTGAGCACCAGCTGAGTTCCCTGTGCAAAGACAACCCCATTTGATCCCCAAGTGGAGGTAATTTTATATTCCCCCACGGAGTCTTACACATCAGTAGACTTCCAGGACGTAGTCGTAGCTGGGAAGAGGGAAGCAATTTGGGAAGAGTTAAGTCCCTGGGAGGGAGATGGGTATTTGTGCCCATCTTTGGGAACAAGAAAAGAGAACCACGGAGGGATGGGCTCTAGGCCCTGGCTTTCTCAGCAGAGAGTAAGTGGGCAGAAGCTGGGGCTCAGAAGTCCAGACTTGAAGACAGAATTTAGCCCTGAAAACCTAGGCACCTTGAGGCAATGGTCTCCCTGCCCGTCCCGATCCTTGCCGTGTGTTCTTCCCCTGTGTGGAAGCCCTGTGATCTCCAGGGCTTCTTGGGTTCTCTGACAGGCAGGAATCTTACATTTTTCCCTGCTTCTCTCCCCGCTCTTAAAAAGGAATAAAATGCAGGCGTGCCTGACTTAAGAAAACAAAAACAAAAAACGGGGCAGAACCGAGTATCTTCAGAAGTCAGAGAACACCTAGTGCATTTCAGTAATGTTTGAGATCATCAGTAGATGACTGAGAACGCTAACAGTTGCCTGAAGAAGTGCCTGGAGTGACTTTTCACTGCAGCTCAATCAGAAGTGAGGGAAAATAGCACCCCTGGCTTTCCAGGAAGAGCCAGTTGAGGGGAAAGGGGAATTGGGCTTCCACATAAACTTTGCATTGCAAAGCAGTGTACCCCCGTGTGGACAGTGCGTGGGGCTTAGAGAAAGTGGAGGGTGCCACACGGCTCTGGGGCTGCAGATCCCCTGATCTCCCCAGGTTAGAGACTGAGAAAACCCATATCCTTTTTCTCCTCATCTCACCATTCTCTCCCGACTCTCTACTCCCCATTTTCCGTCTGTCTACCATTTGGAGGGGCTAGGGGTTGAAGGGAAAGAAAACAACATGAGCATTTTGGGACCTGCGGACTATAGATTTAGAGCAGAGTTCAGGGTTCGCCAGATAAATCTGCAAGCACCTTGGTACTGGATTTATTTCTAGATCCATTTTCAAATGCCCTCCCCTGGACAGAAAGTCTTGAAAAGGCTAGAGACAGTATTGGTCGTTTTGCCAAGTGACTTGTCTCTTTTTCAGACATCTCACTCAAAATCTAGTCAAAAGAGTAGTTTGTCTTTTGGCTAGTATGACACGGAGTTCTTTTGACTGGTATAACGCAGAGCTCTGGAACCCAAGGGAACTCCGCAGGCCTGTGAACACACCTGTGCCAAAGCCTTAGCGAAAGTCCTTTTGGAGGTGGGGCTCTCAGATGGCCTGAAGTGGCAGAGAGAGCGGCAGGAGATTGGGTGATAGGATCCACGCTCACTGCTTGCCTTGGTTTCCCTCCGGTGGTAACTGGGGAAAGATTTGCCCAGGAGAGGGGCAGGTGCCCCACTCCCTATCTGTCCCCTTCACCACAGCCCAAGGTGTCTGTCCTCTATGCGCTTTTCTGTCATTGCCTAGGGAAGTTCTTCCGTTTCACCCAGGCCCGGCATGCCTTCTTTGCCGATGCTGCGTGGTCGGAAGTGGGAAGTATGTCTTCTGACTGCCCCCCCACCCCAGTTAAGCTGTGTGTCCACTCAGCGATCAGGGCTCCGTAGTTTTCTCTCTATCCCCAGTCGGTAGCAGTGTCAGAGGATGATGCTGGTCCTAAGGTGATACTGACATTCGGCTCTTTCTCCGTCCAGGACAACCCGGAGCTCCCATGCTGTTCTAGTCAGGAGGAAGCAGCAGCGGGGGGAGACCGCAGCAGCCTGGCAAACCCAGTTAAAGTAGAGGGGGAGGGGAAGCAAGGCGACCAGAAAGGCCAGGCAGGAGACAAGGCGGAGAAAGGGGACGCGGCCTCTGCAGAAGCTGCCTCCACCAAGGCTGGCAAATGCCACGAAAAGAAAAGGAAGCATTGTCAAATTGAAACCCGAGACTCAGAGGTGCCTGCGAAAGCCTTGAAGCCAGGTACTGACTCTCCGCAGGGAGAAAGGGGCTTGGAGGGGGCAGGGCCGGGACTCACAGGCATCTACGGGTCACTTAGCCTCCATGGGGGGTTCGGCGGGCTCCTCCGACTCTGGGTGTGCGGCCCAGCTCTGGCAATGAGCTGTGCCACATCTTTGAAAGAGCCCACATGGTTGTTAGCACAATGTTGGGGTTCACTAATAATAAGGAAAAGCCAAGGCATAAGGTCAGGGCCCGTATCGACAACTGACACCTCACGCCCTTGGTGGTGTCGCCTCTTTCCAGGCCCACCTGCCCCTACCCTCGTCTCCATTCTAAGAATGGAGGCACGGGGTGGTGTGACCAGGCCTTGCCCTCCTCCCTCCCAGCTGGGTGCCCAGTGGTAGGCATCAGAAGCAGCAGCCGCAGCCTCATGTCTTTCCAAGAGAGGCTGCCAGGGCCGGGATTCAGTACCAGCCTTGAAGACCTGGCTCAGGCCATGGGATTGCTGTTGCTGCTGCTGCTGTGGAGTGAGGTGCCCGCTGCACTGGAGTCAAGTCCCCAGGGCTCTTGGATATTCCCAGACTCACATTTTTCTTCCTGTGGGGCTGCCGGAAACCTCCCGGAGCCTCTTTCCGGGTATCCCATTCCCGGTGGCTCGGGTGGCCAGGGCATCTACCCTCTGGGAGGCAGGGTGAGAGCGGCAAGCTGAAACACCCATGGGGTTCTCTTGCCTCAGAAGTGCTGTCTGTGAAAGTAAGGTTGGTCCATCTCTGACTTACTGCTTTCTAAATCACAGATACTCTGGCTGAGCAGGGGGCCGAGGCTGCTGTCAGTGCTCCACTGCCATCTTCTGTGGATGTGTCTGACCTTGAATGCGCCCTGTGCATGAGGTATGCTATGGGGGCTACCACTTATTGCCCGAGGCTTCTTCTTCTGGGGAGTCCGGACCTTTGGGCTAGTGACCTATGTTCAGTTGGTTAGCACGGAAAAGAATGGTTCTAACAGAATGAAAATCACGCTGCTGTTGGTCACGTGGGCTAGCTTGTGTCCCTTGCTTACAGGTTATATTCCCTACACTCCTGACTTGGAGATACCTAAAGAGGGGGAAGGAAATGGTCTACCCAGAGCTCACAGACTCAGGGACACACTCTGAATGTCTTTGGTTTGGCCTTCATGGGATTTTTTTTTTTTTTTTGGTTGTTGTTAAATGTGAATGTTTAGAGAGAGGACAGACACTCTCTAGTTGGCCATGGTTCCCCTGTCTCTCAATTGCTTGTGTCTCATATTTGCATTATTTTCCTGGTACCTTGTAGGTATTTGAGTTCATGACCCTGGAACGAGTCTCACCTACTAGATCAAGATCCCAAAGCTCAAGGGCTAATGTTAATGCCATAGGCCTCTTCTTTGGAAGCCAAATGGTTTTCGTTTTGAACAATATCAGTAGCAGGCATGTACTACTTGGCCAGGCATCCCTTCTATACCCAGTGGGGAAGCGAATTACCCACACACCTGCCCACCCGCCTCGGGAAAAAGGAAGCTGGTACAAGCTTGGGCTGTGTGAAAAAAAGGACTTTAGTTTGGTTCCTTTCACAGCTGTGACTTTGTGGCTACGAGGAGGCGCTCCAAAGCCAGATGGCCTGGGCTTGAACCCTGGCTCTGCCACTTACTGGCTGTTTGACCTAGAGCAAGTGATTTTTCTCTGCCACTGTTTTCTCATCAGTAAAATGGAGAAGAGTAGTACCCAGCCTATGAGGTTGTTATGATTAACTGAGAGAATCTATTTAAAACACACTTAGAATAGTGCCTGACATAGTAGATACTCCATGTATGTTAACTCTTTTTCTAGACCAGAGATTCTTTAAGTCCACGGACCCCTGAGGAAGTTCTTTGTATGGATTCTAAAAGATCTGTGAATTCCCTGAAGTTGTATGTAAAAATGTGTATGTGAGAGAGAGAGAGAGAGAGAGAGAGAGAGAGTGTGTGTGTGTGTATGTGTGTTTCCGAAGGTCCACAGATTTTGGTAGATTCTCAAAAGTGCTTCCCCCCGCAAAAAATAGCATTAAAAGAAGGCTGAGACATTTGTATAAAAGTTATTAAGATGGTTGACCCAAGAGATGTTAAGAAAAATCCTGTGGTCTACCACACAGTGGGATCCAGCCACCCCCCAAGGATCCTGGGGTGTTTTCTTGCCCTTTGCAAGCACGTATGCCTTCCATATCAATCATGTGCTTTTGTATTTGGGAGGACTTTTACTGTATGCATAAAAATGAATAAGGAGCCAATTACCTGGACATGTACTTTTTCTTCCTCTTAAAAATAATTGAATTAGGGGTGCCTGGGTGGCTCAGTGGGTTGGGCCTCTGCCTTGGGCTTGGGTCGTGATCTCAGGGTCCTGGGATCGAGCCCTGCACCGGGATCTCTGCTCAGCGGGGAGCCTGCTTCCTCCTCTCTGTCTCTCTGCCTGCCTCTCTGCTTGCTTGTGATCTCTTTCTGTCAAATGAATAAATAAAATTAAAAAAAAAATCAAATTGTCAGATTTGCTTCTGAACTCGGGCAGACCTGAAAATGAACTGTTTGGCAGATGAATACAGCAGCACTGAAAGAAAGTCCTTCCAGATACAATCGGGGAGTTTTAGGTGGAGTAGGTGAGAGTGGGGTGGGTCATGTAACCAGTTCCCTTTGACCATCTCCCCGTCCCCCTCACAACAAAGTGTCAGGTGGGTCACGGAGGAGCCAGGATACGAGGCAGAATGTCTGCTTCCAAGCAGAGAAGGGGGCCTCCGCCATCATTCCTCTAAGCCACAGTCTTTCAGGTGTCAGACTTTGCTAGACTTGGTTTAGCTTGTTCAGAAAGTCCAGGTCTTTGCTGGACGTATCCTCCTTAATACTCCTCCCAACATCCAGCCAACACAAAATCAAACACACAGACTCATCCTGTTTGTGTTTTTGCTGAGGGCTCAGAATCCTGAGGTTGGAGTTCTTTTGTTCTGTTTCCTCTGCTTTCTCCCTTTCATCTTGTTTGTCCCTGATCTCAACAGGGGGCTTCAGAGAAGGGTTAGAAATTTGCTCCAAGAAATAAACACCAAGAGGATAAGACCCCCTTCTGGTTTGCTCACCCTGAGCTTAAAAGCCATTATTTCCTTTATCCTGCCCCTCTGTTCTAAATGAGACTTCAAAACAAAAGCCCATCTTTGTTTGGGGTAGTTGTAGTATATAGTTTGGTAACTTTTAAGGGGACCCCAGCTGCTTCAGAGTGCAGAGGAACCCACCAAGTCCAGAGAGCTTTTCTGGCCTGAAGGCTCTTAACTGTAGCCCTTGGGACACCTGGGTGGCTCAGTCAGTTGAGCATCTGCCTTCAGCTCAGGTCATGATCCCAGGGTCCTGGGATCCAGCCCCATGTAGGCTCCCCACTCAACAGGGAGTCTGCCTCTCTCTCTCTCTCTCTCCCCCTCTGCCCTTCCCCCCACTTCTGTTCTTTCCTTCTCTCTCAAATAAATAAATAAAACCTTAAAAAAAAACTGTAACCCTGGGTCAGAAACATGTAGTTCCCCTCCCAACAGGGTTTATCTGTAAGGCAGAAATCAGATGTTGACAGAAGCTGTTTCATGTGCATGCTTTGTTTGAATACAGTCTTGTCAAAGTTCCTGTTTCCACCTCTCTAGTGATTTTTTTTTCCTTTTTGTTGTCATTAGGATTATTGTCAGGTTCTATTATGACCCTCGTGTCTTTGGGGGAGAGGGTGTCTAAGGGTTGAGATATTTTCAAACCATCTACTGGGTCGTGAAACTAGACATTTGTACCTCCTCTACGAGTTTCAAGAATGAAATCCAGTCCCGTGGCACTGCATTAGTAGAAGCCAAGTTGGAGTGCAAAGTTCATCCGACTCTAGAGGGAAACTCAGGAGCCCCTTGTACATCTTGCAGGGAAAAGGGTGGAAAAAGTGAATGGGATAAGAATTGGAGTGTGCAGTAATGAGACACTTTCCTGTCTCCCAAGTCCCCCTGGCTGGATTGGGAGAGCTCTGTTGAGGGAAGTTGTTTCCTAATTCCAACTCCTCAGAACTCTGCCCCCCAGTCTTTTGTGACTGGAAACCCCTTGAGATTTAGCCAGCTGGAATCTCTCGCCACTGGGGGCCCCCTCTGGGGCTGTTGTGGAATATCGCCTTTGGGGTGACAAGGATATTTTGAGATGTGGAACAAGAATCCTTGATATTTGAACCAGTTACCTAATGGCCCAGTGACCTCTTTGTCAATTGAAATGAAAACTTTGTATTTAACCTAGTTTTAGCTACTCAAATAGCTGGGTGTTAAGGAGTCTGCCCCACCATCTCTTTCCTTCCTTCCCTCTCTCTTTTTCTTTCTCTTTCTCCACCCCCCTCCTTCTCATGCCCTCTTCGCTCTCCTTTGATAGCAGCAAAAGAACACAATACAAGGATGTAACTGGTGGGAAAAGATAGCTATTTCTAGACAAGCCAAGCATTTTATCCGGGCTGACATGTAACTGAAAGCATTTATTATTACTATTGTTTACTCCACCACTGTGACAATGTAAAATGCTTTCTTGTGAGAAAATCTGACTACTCTGATTTATAAATGTCTCCCTCAAGTGTTTCCTACAATCATTACTTAGTGGTAAATAAAATGGAGAGGACTTCAAGTATATACCTATTTCTATCTCTATCTCTATACAGAGTTCTCTCTCTCTCTCTCTCTCTCTCTCTCTCTGGAATGGGGAGAGAGAGAACTGTGTTGTCGGTATGTCTACACACGGATGGATGATGTCTGTTCTAGATATAGGTGTGCATGCTGTCGCTGCTGTGTCATATAGTGGAGAAGGAAGATGAGCTGGGGAACAAGGTGTGACTTCACACCCCAAGCCCTGCTACCTCCTAGCTAGCTGTGTGACCTTGGGCAAGTCGCTTAACCTGTCTGAGTCTTCATTTCCTCAGTAGTAATACATGAAGTTAATTTATTTGAAAAACAGTATTACACACACCAAGAACAGCAAGAGAAATATACTCCCTCTGTCTCATGTCACTTTATCCATCATCCTTTGGAGAGGAGCAGAGTAGCCCCGAATATAGAAGCGACTTGAGTCTTAAAAGGTGATATATTCTGAGCATCTGAACTTTGAATTATTTCAAAACAGGCATTACGCAGTGTCTGTTGGCAGCCTTCTCGTCTGCGACCACTCAGCTCGGGGGCCTTTTAATCACAGTTCTTGCTGAGAGTCGTTGTTTCCTTTTGGGTCTGTTTCGTTCATCTGCTCATTACATGTCAGTATTTACTGCAGTGAATTAGCCAGCGATGCCATTGCTGTTTTACAAAAGGCCCGATTTTGAAGTTCTCAGGAAAAAAAAACAGTTTAGCAGGTACAGATTCCTCAATCATCATCATCATTAGTGTCATTGACTAAGGTGTGTAACAAATTTTCAGATTCATAGGACTCAAATTACTGGGGAAGTGAGACTTTCTGAATTTGGCTGCTGCAGAAGCTCACGGCAATGGTTTCCAAATCCGCCTGCAAATCACACTTGTGAGAAACATTCTAAATTGTGAAACACACATGGTGGAAAAGTACATAAAATTAAAATTGTACTCTCTTAACAAAATTCTGTAGAGAGGATACTCGTACAGTCCTTCTCAGTTCAAGAAATAAAACATGGCCAGGACCCCCACAAGCCTCCTGTGGGCCACTTCTGAATCACAGCTCCTTGCCCCTTGCCCACTGAAGCCACTGTCTTTCTTGATTTTTCTCTCTTCTTTTTTAAAAACAGTTTTACCCCCTACCCATGTATGCATCTCTAAATGGTATAATTTAGTTCTACCTATTTCTAAAACACTTTATATAAATCGAATTATCAAGAACATATTTCTTTTTGTTCTGGCTTCTTTTCCATAGTATTAAGGTTTATTCACGTTACTGCGTACTGGTGATGTTTGTTCATTTTCATTCATGTATAGTGGCCCATTGTATGACTCTACCACAGCTTCTTCCTTTGTTCTATTTCAGAAGGATATTTGGGTTGTTTCTAGTTTGGAGCTGTTATGGACAACGTTGCTATGAGAAGTTTCTATGTATACTGGTGCATATAAATCTTTGCCCATCTTGATTGGGTTATCTCTCTTTTTCTTACTGACTTCTAGGAGCTTTATGTCTGTTGTAGACACAAGCCCCCTGTTAGTCATGTGTGCTACAAATACCTTCCCCCACTTGTGGCTTGCTTTTTTGCTCTCTTCATGGCGTCTTTTAATGAACTTACAAGTTCTTTGTTTTAATGCAATGAAAATTATCAATCTTTTCATTTATAGTTAGTGGCGGTTTTTTTTTTCCTTGTGCGTGTTTTGCCCAAGAAATCTTTTTTCTTTTACCTTGAGATCATCAAGATATTCTGTTATGTCTTCTAAAAGCTTCACTGTTTCACATTTACCTTTCCAGCCCACATGAAAGTGATTTTTGTGTATGGTGTGAGAACAGCCCAACTTCATTTCCCCATACAGACAGCCCGCTATCCCAAATAGCATTTATTGAGAATGCTACTCATGTACTGAAAATCCCCCCTCTGCTTTGAAGTGCCACAGTTGTCATAAATCAAGAATCTGGGTCTGGGTCTATTTCTGGGCTTTCTAGTCTATTTACGGATTTGTCCTTGTGCTAGCCCTATACTGTTTTAATCACTACAGCTTTATAATAAGGTCTGATGTCTGGTAGAGCCAGTCCTCCCACAGTGCTGCCCTTAGAAGTGTCTCCGGTCCTCTTGACCCTTTGCCTTGCCTTATACCATTTAGAAATCAACTTGTCAAGTCAAAACAAACATCTGAAATAAGCCATTGGGATTTTTATCGGGATTAATTAGGTCTTCTTTACTTCCTTTCAATGAGGTATTTATAGTTCTTTCCATCAGAGGTCTTGTACAGTTTTTGTTGGATTTCTTCCTGGAACACTTGATTTCTAAATGTGACTGTAAATGTTACCTTTTTAAAAAATGTGTTTTCTTGTTTTTTTTTTGCTGGTGTATAGAATACAATTGTGTGTGTACGTATATTTATTAACATCCTTGTTAATACTATCAATTCTTACAAATTCTAATAATCAGTCTGTAGATTTTTAAATTAAAAAAAAATTTATGTGTTTTAGAGAAAGGAGCCGGGGAGGGCAGAGGGAAAGGGGGAGGCATTCTTTAAGCAGACTCCCTGCTGAGCACAGAGCCTCACATGAGGCTCAGACCCATGACCCTGAGATCTCTGCCTGAGCCGGAACCAAGAGTTGGACACTCAGCTGACTGAGCCACCAGTACCCTCTGTGGATTCTTTTAGATTTGACCAGGTCACCTTCACACCATGTGTGAATAATGACAGATTTGGTGTTTTCCATTCTAATCCTCATACTTTTTTTCTTCTTCTTTCCTTAGTACACTGGTTAGGACCGCCATCATAGTGTTTTTTGAAAATTAATCTTACTTTTTGGCCAATTTAATAACTGGCCAAATAACTTTTTGCCCAATTTAATAACTAAAATATATTAATTCTGTTAAATGAGCTGCTTTCTAAAACAGAAATATAACATTCAAAATGTAGAAAAAGTGAATCTATCAAAAGTCTCTCTCCTACTCCAGACCTTCATGTGCTTGTTTTTTTTTTTTTTTAATTTCAACACTTTAACAATTATCACTTGTACTGGTATGGACTTATTAAATATCACCTTTTCAATGACAGTGTGTGTTTCACAGTGTTTTCAGTGTGTGTCCTCTCGTCTCCTAGAAGTCAGATGCCTTCTTGTACTTGTCATACTGCCAGAACCTCGTTCTGCGTCAGCACGCAGAGCACGTTTGCTAAATGAATAAGTGAGAATCCGTCTTGTGGATAGCCTGTTAAATTTAAACTGATTTCTCTTAAGAAACTATTCATTTCTTTCCCACGAGATGCTTTTCCCTCAAATTTCACTAGAATTTTTTTAATCAAAAAAGTGGGGAATGTGCCAGCAGCTGCTAGTCTTTCACTGGCTTGTTAAAAATATCAAATCTCTGTCCCTCCCTTTGACCCGCTAAACAACACACTTGACCCAGTGGACTTTCACCGTGTCTGTTTTGGAAGCTCTACAGGTAGCTCTGAGAATTCAGTTTGGAGACCAGTACAGAAGATTGATCTGTGCAGAGATTAGTAGGATTGTGGAATCCAGTGATTTTCAATCCTGGCTGCACTTTAATTAAAACCACCCAGGAGCTTTAAAAAAAAAAAAATCCTGGTGCTTGGCCCTTACCCTGGACCAACCGATTTGAATCTCTGCAGGCGTGGTCCCTGGCAACTGTATGGTGCTTAAAAGTTCCCCAGATGGTGGTGGAGGCTGGGAGAGGGGAGAAGGAGGTAGGATTTACAAAGGAACATGAGGCAGTATTTGGGGGTGATGGGTATGTTCGTGACCTGGATCGTTGAAATGGTTTCATAGGCGTGCACATAGTTTAAAACTCACCAAACTGTAAACTTGGAGTATGTGCAGCTCATGCATGTCAATTACACATCAGTAAAGCTGTTTAAAGGAAAAGCTCCCCAGGTGATTCTCACAAAGAGCAGTGGTCAAGAATCATAGTTTGAAAAAATAAATAAATAAATAATCATTGTTTGAACAGAGGGAGCATGCCACTGGAAGGTGGACATTGGATAGACTTTGTTCTGCCAACTAGAAGCGACTTCCTCCCCTCTGGACCTCACTGTCATTCTAGTTGGGGGGGTTCAGTTTTTTTCCGGGTACTCTTCCTCTCTGACATTTTGATCCTGCTCAGCCTGGCTGTGTGCGCCAGGCTGTTGTTGCACCTCCTGGCCACACGAGGGGGCTGTGCAGCTGGCTGCCTCTTCCTCTCAACTGAACACTCCTGTGAGGTCAAAAGAGGCTGGTCAGGCATCTGTCTTTCCCTTCTGTCTGTCCTTTGGTGAGCGCCGGCCCCACTTCTGAACCACCATCTTCAGCTGCCCCTACCCAGTGGTCCTGCTGCAGGTGAGCCTTTCTTTTTAAGCAAAGTAAATCCATGAATCTCTGAATGAATAGAACTGCTTTTTTAAAAGATTCCCCAGATTGCTTTGAAAATATCCAGCTCCTGCAAAGCAATTAAAGTAGGATCTAATTGAAGTATATGGAGGCAGATCTGCATATGCATGTGTGTGTGTGTGTGTGTGTGTGTGTGTGTATCAGTAAGCACCTTGACAGTATTACTCTACTGCTTCTAAGAAAATGATCCATTCATACAAAAGGTAGTCATCTGTTTGTTAAAGGTGCAATATTGAGATCCTTCAGGCAGTAAACATTGCTTAGGTGAAAAATGGAGTCGAGGTTAGCAAACAAGCCAAGCCTTTTTGCACTGTACATATGATATAAAGTACTTAAATGAGTAAATGTGTGAGACAGAGTGTGTGTGTTTATCTGTGTTTGTATTTATCTGTCTGTGTGTGTGTTTACATATCTTTAGTGAACAGGTTGGCTACATATTTTAGAATGAAATCTATTCAGACACTCTGGGCATTAATCTCTATTTTTCTGAGACGTGACAGGGAAAAACATTTTGGATGCTAGTCAGAAGAGACTGACTAGAACTGATGTTACAAAATGATCTAGCTATGTCATAAATGTTGATAAATGCATTTAAAAAAAATCCAGCTCAGGAACAAAAAAGCAAATGCTTTTCTGAAGTGCAGCAACAGCAGGGAATTACTTTAAAAAGGAAAGACCCCCCCCCTTACACAGAATTTTCCAATACTGTAAAACCTTAACACTGACTAGCTCTGTCTTTTATTTTTCATCTTATTGCATGTTTATTCCATTTTGATTCCTAAATTTCAGATTATTCTATGAGCCAGTCACAACACCTTGTGGACATACATTTTGTTTAAAATGCCTTGAAAGATGCCTAGATCACAATGCAAAGTGTCCACTGTGCAAAGATGGTCTTGCACAGGTAAGACATTCTTTCTGTCTTGATTGGGTTAGCTTATTTGGAATTGGATACCAAAATGGTGTCCTGTTGGATCCCAAGCCAGTGCACTGTGCTAGGGCAAAATACTCCCTCAGGCCATCTGTCTATTTTTCCTGTCTTAGAGCTACCCCTCCGCTCTTCACAAAGTCCTTCAGGAAAATGGGGCAACATCTAGGTTTTTATGAACTGTAAATAGTGAAATTAATTTGTGATGGAAACAGAAGGATTAAATTGAGGACAAACAGGGATCCTGGTGCTAAGCCTATCATGGCACCTGATTCATTGCAATCTTAGGTGAATCCTCTGTCCTCTCTGGGCTTGGACGAGATGAGTGCTGATTTCTTCTCACCATCGTTGTTTATTCTGTGGTTTGAAGGTATCACTCCCAGGGCCCCAGAAAAACCTCACAGACCTTCAGTGTAGTCCTTGTTCCAGGCACCCCCCCCCACCCCCAGGAGCTGCTGTACTTATTAGCAGATATTTGGCCACTTGAAAAGCTCTGCAGCTTCTAGATTCTCCGAAAGGAACCACACAGGCTGCCACCATTGTTTTTCAGGTGGACTGGAGGACTTTCCTGTAGCACAGGAACACCTGGGAGCCCATCTTGTTTTCCCTCCCTTGGGGACTTGTGCACGACACATTATAGTCAGTCTTAATATTCCTTGACCCTTGTTGTCCCCAAGGAGAGGGCAGAAATGCAAGGCTATCTCTAGGTGAACGTAGGTCCAGAAAAGTCACCTGCTGAGCTTTCCCAACACCCAAACGTTTGAACAAAGGGAATGGAGTGAAATAATCAACCAGGATAATCCTGGGGGTGTGTGTAGGGTTAGAGGGGAGGCTCACTGTCACACCTTGCCTAGATCAGTGGGTGGGATCTGCTGGCCTGATGGTGGGTGAGGAGCCCATGGTCCTTATACATAACAATACACGTGTGTTGTGGTAACACTACAACATTCATGTAAGCAGAAAGAAGAACCTGGTCCTGCTAAGCACCCAGAGAAAACCACCGTTAACATCTCAGTACGTGCCTTTCCTGGGTTTTTGTTTTAGCATCAGCGGTGGAGTCTGGATTAGCAACCTCCTGAGTCATTGCTTTTCCCCAAAGACTGGGATGGGCAAAGCATCTGATCCGCCATTAGGTGGTAGCAGGGGCTGGGAAGGCATCCTAAGAGCAGATGCTGCGGGGTCCCAGACTCAGGGGCTAGAAAATATTCTCGTCTGTCTCTGTGTATTGTCACAGGGGCACACTTACACTGTGTCCAAGAGTGATAAATATTTTATGCCAATCACGTTCACTGCAGAATAGACACACAGAGCCCATACTGGGAAAGGAAAAAGGGTCTCCAACGAGCAATTTTATAACCAGGAGCTCCCCCTGCTGGGTCTCAATGGGTAGCGTCCATAGCAAGCAATTCGCAGATGTTTTCACTCTCATTGTCTGGGTCACACAGTTAAATTCCCATTGCTTACGGATCACCGGATATGTATGGAGTAGGGGTGTTTGCGAGGATAGTAGTGACCAATGGACCCGAGTTTGGTTCTGAAATCATGGTTTATAACATAATTTCAGTGATAGCCTAGATGATATATCTAAAAAACAGATAAAAATCACCAGTATTTAGTTGTTGTTTTGTTTTTAGCTAAAGCTGGGCGGGGGGAATATTTAGACTGACAGTATCCAGAAGCCAAGCATTGGGGTGGGGTGCTGTGGGTATGGGACAGGTCAGGAAAAGATCAATGTTTGAAAATGTCTTTTTCATGCCCCAAACATTTTGACCAGACTTTCAGTATATCCCAGGTGAAGAGCATTTTCATGGGCTTGTAAATGCAGTAACCAGAAGAGGAAAGGGAAGGATTTGCCCTCCCACCTTTTTGACAAGAACATAATCTCAATTTGAGCATTTTAGGGAAGCTATGAGATTTTTAGAACTTCAACGCAGGTCTTTTTCCCTTGTTAAAATATTTTTGCCTAATTATACAAGTAATTAGTCACATGTAATATCCAGAGAATATATGCAGTATGATTTATCACCTGCTAATACACGGGTCCAAATTACTCCGATATATGGGTCATTCGACTATCCTACTGATAAAAGCAGGCGTGCTTTGTGTTTTTCTGAAGACTGATTAGTATTTCATTGCCCTGTTCCCCCTTTAGTGCTTGGCATCCAGAAAATACAGCAAAAATGTCATAATGGAAGAGCTAATAGCTAAATTCCTTCCAGAAGAACTCAAGGAACGAAGGCGGCTTTATGAAGAAGAAATGGAAGAACTTTCTAAGTATGTATATGCACATTTTCTCTTTTTTCTTTTCAGTTTGACCCACAGAAGCTCATAGAACTGAATGTGCACATTTCTTCCTAACTTTTCACTTGATGATATCATGTTGGTAGCTTGACATTGGCCTTGGTGAGTATCTATACTACAGAAATTGGCAAGTGCTGTAAGCCAGAGCTTCCCCCAGAAGCCAGTTGCTCAGCGCTTACCCATGTGCCACAGACCATTGACCAGGTCACATCTTGGCACTTGTGCCTGGGTGTTGCTGGTAGGAGGTAGGAGTAAATTTGGAGGAGCTAATCAGGGGAACTCACAGAGTATACAAAAGACTGCAGATACTCAAGCAGGTTCTGTGAGGTTAAGAACTTTGGTGCCAACCAGACCTGGGTTTGTGACCCAATTCTGCCACAAAGTGAGTATGCTTCAGGGGCTCAGGCAAGTCCCTTGACCTCTCTGGACCTCAGTTTCCTCATCTGTAGCTTGGGAATAATCCGTTCTTACCTCACGGACTTGCGAAGATTAAATGAGCTAGTGCACAGCAAGTAATTAATGGTAACGGTAATAGTGAGACTGCTGCTTGTTCTGTGCCTCCTCTGCCTGGCCCGTGGGAGAGGCAGGGTAAGGAGGAAGGTGGAAGGAGGGCTCCTCCGCTGGAAGAGCAGCTCACTGGGAAGAAGCGCGAGGCAATCTCTCCCTTCTGCCTCTTCTACTGCTGCCTCCCGCCTCCCCATCCCCACTGGAATCCTCACAGCATTCTGGGGGCCAGGTGCCTGGTGGCAAAAGGTGCCCCCCTTACAGAGAACACCTCTGAACTGCCATGGTTTCGTTTGAGTGGAGCCTCTCACTTCGGGTGACATGTTCTCCTGAGAAGCTAGAAATTAAATTCTTGTTTTTCTCCTTGACTTAGACTAGATCTACTCAGGGCATCTTTATTTCTGATTCTTAAATTTGCCTTGAGTTTCTCTGAGCCCTTATCTCCAGTATCACTTAGTGTCTTATTAATAAACACTGGGATATATTAGAGGGATATCTATTTAAAGAAATCCTAAACTTAATACTGCGGGGATTTGGGCAGATGGTCTTATAGCTATTGATAAGTTCCAGTACTGGATTTACCAGACAAAGAAGAGAACGGTGATGGAGGAGGCGCTGGCCCGGTTGGTGGTTTCCCATCAGGCTGTGCATCTGCTTCTTCACGGGCACTTGTTGAAGGGCAGACTCCTGGGTCCTAACTCCAGAGCTAATATACCAGTATCTCAGGGGTCCTGCAGCCCACTGTCTGGATGGAAGGCCCCCTGGTGACTGATGAACAGGAGCATTTGAGCATCACTGGGCTAGCACCTTGCCTCTCTGTTGCTCCCTCCTCCTTCTGGCTGGGTCCTTCCAGCAGGTCTCCTGGGGGCTTTGCAAGTTTGAGATGCTGATGGAGACCTTGCAGAGATTTTCCCACCATCCCCCTGGAGGGCTGGGTCCACTTTTACCACCAGCACGACACCTGAAGAGATTGTTCTGAGTAGAGAGCATTAAAAAAAAAAGATTGAGGTATAGCTATCGCCCACCATGTGAAGGTACTAGAGGACGTCTTTAGGCAAATTAGAACGTATAGAATATCTAGTTTCAATCTCTCAGCACTTAGGCTAACCTCTGCGCCAGGTAATGGGACTCAGCCCATAGTGTCAGTGGCATCTCAGGATATTTTTTTTTTAAATCAGCTATAGAAACTTGAGGTCTCCTTGCCTTCCTGTGGGGGAACCACAAGGGGACGTTTGACCAACCTTTCTGTGTTCTGCTCCATTGCTTTGAGACATCCATGTCATTTGCTCTTCCTAACAGCTTAAATAAGAACGTGCCTATTTTCGTGTGTACTATGGCCTATCCCACCGTTCCTTGTCCCCTGCACATCTTCGAGCCTTGTTACCGCCTGATGATTCGTAGATGCATCGAGACAGGCACAAGGCAGTTTGGCATGTGCCTTGGAGATCCTGTCAAAGGGTAAGTGGAGAACTATGTAGGTGAAGGGAGGCTTGGCTGGAGAGGGATTTGGGTTGACTTTGGGGTGCTCCCAGAAGACGGGGAGACACAACTCCTGAGATTCAGTCAGTCCGTGACCGTGAGTGTTCGTAGAGACCACGGTCTCCCTGGCCCCTAGCCTACCATGTAATAGGTTGCCTATATAAAGGAACCCTGGGATTAATCTTTTGTTAAACGGGTGACATTTACTCTACAGTTTGTTTCACTGGAAGACTGTGGACCCGGGAGTCACACTGCCTGGCTTTACATTCTGGCTCCAGCCTTAGCAAGTTTGACTTTGGACGAGTTACTTCTGTGACTCAGTGTCCTTATCTGCAGAGTGGGCACAATAGTGCCTACCTCACTGGGCTTGTTGGGAGGGTTGGTGAGTTAACGCGCATAAAGCACTGAGCACAGTACCTAATACACAGTGTCTGCTCCATACACGGGAGCAGTTATGTTATTGCATGAACATTTTTCTTTGCACAGACACTGCCTGTTGTGTGGTTGCTGCCGTGGACCCCAGCACAGGCAAATAGGCAGAAGTCCCTCGAGCCACAGCCTGGGGTTACAGAAATGGCTCAGGGCCAGGGCACAGAAATGACTCAAGGATTTACGTCTGTACTCATACCCTATTAAGCAGGTTCGCGGAATACGGCTGCATCCTGGAGATCAGAAATGTGCAGTTCTTTGCTGATGGCCGCTCGGTGGTGGACAGCATAGGCAGGAGGCGCTTCAGGGTCCTCCATCAGGGCCACCGAGATGGCTACAATACAGCTGACATTGAATACATTGAAGACCAAAAGGTGAGGACGGCCAGTGCCACGAATCCCAAGGCCAGGCTATTCCTGTAGCTTGGCCCACAAAGATGTTCACAAAAGAATTTCTCAGCGCTGTTAGGGGCCTTGGGATTTCTCACCAAATTGTTATGGTGACACTGAATGCTGCTGGATTGCTGTTTGGCTGTAGAATGGCACCAGGAGCGCTCCGTGTCCTGGCTTTCTCTGCCTAGCTGCTGAGTCGTATTCATGCGTGAGAAATGGCAAGCCAGACCAACCACGCAGAGGCCCGTTCAGCCTAGGAATTAGGTCTCTGCCACAGATATCAAGGGGTAGATATGGAGCGATAGCTACACATGTGCATTTTATGTATCAATTTATTTATATTTTCCAACTTTGTCTTTTGAGATAATTGTAGATTCACATGTATGCTTGTATTTTTTTTAAGATTTTATTTATTTATTTGACCCCTTGGGCGGGGCAATGGCAGACTGAGGGAGAGGGAGAAGCAGGCTCAGGGAGCCTGATAATGGGGCCTGATCCCAGGACGCTGGGATCATGACCTGAACCGAAGCAGATGCGTAACCCACTGAGCTACTCAGGCGCCCCCGTACATTCATATTTTTAAACGTGCAGCCTGCTTAAGAGTTCTTCCCTAAAACCCATTGTACCATAAAGCAGAAAGATAACATGTCCAGTTAATCTTTGGTGTTCTAGACTAATGGGTAGAAGAAAAGGTAAATAATCCCATGTTCATTTATGTTTACATTCACTACATGGTACAAGATCAGTAAATGTTTGATCGATGAGTGAATGTATTTGACATGCAAAATAGAGTTACACAGTGAGACACAGACATACTCATGTCTCTTTTGCCAGTGCGCAATGGGAAACCAGATATAAAACATGAAAAGGAGAGAGGCGTAAAGCAGTGTAAGCTAGTTGGACAGCATGCCTCCACTCAAGCCAGGGCGCCCCTCTGGTTTCCTACCTGTCTTGCTGTTTCAGCTAATTTACCTAGAGGAGCCTTTATCCTTCCTCCTGCCCCTCAACAAGTTATGCACAGCCCATCCTCTGGCAGAGGAGACGTTCACACACCACACAGGAGAAGGCCGGGTGGGCAAGCCTTCCTAGGGGGGCGGGCTGGATGCCCAAAGGGAGTCCGTGTCAGCAGCAGCCTTGGGAGTGGTGGAGAAGGTACAGAGTGCTTCATTTCCACTTTGGTACTTTCAGGTTCAAGGAGATGATTATGCTGAGCTCATGGGATTGCATAATTGTGTCTATGAGCAAGCGTCATCGTGGTTTCATTCGCTCAAATCATCTCTGAAGAATCGGATAATCAGTCACTTTGGTCCCATGCCAGAGAAAGATGCTGATCCCCAGGTACATGAAAATGTCTCTTTGTAATGGACTGCCCCCACTAGATGAGAGAGCCTAGGGTTTGGGATCAGGTGGGTGCATGGTTGCCATTTAGCAGACCAGGAACAGAGAGGAAGATGGATCCCGAGTCAGAATTGGAGCAGTAAAGTAAAGCAGTAGGAACCTGGATCCAAGACAGGTTTTGAGAGATAAGTCAGGTGAGAGATTGAGAACACAGATGCCATCAACAGAGGAACTTTCAGTGAGGGTCTAGAGTCACACCACAGTAATGTGTGGGAGTGACAAGATTCACGCAAAGGCCAGGATTAAGAGAAGGGTATCCTGGGAGCTGAGACCAAAGGTTTCCAGTTCTGGGGAGCCCCATAACTGTCTTCCCCATTGCTGCAGGAGCAGGGAGTTGGGACCAGCTAACTTACAGGATTCCAATCTCAAGACCCCAGAATCTTCTCACACCTGGGTCCCTCCCTCCTTAGCCTCGTGTGTCTAGACCCTTGTCATTGCTCTCATCAGGGGTGAGCAGGTCCTGAGCAAACAGACCCAATCTTTAAATCTACCCTTGGCTGAATTATACTAGAAAGCAGTTCATTAGGTTCTACTGGATTAGTCTGTTTCCTGGGGAGACAGGTCCACTTGAGAGATCAAGCTGCAGATCAGAAGCTTTTCAGGAAATTGGAGATAGTTCAGTTTCTCTAAGCTTTGTTTTCCTGGTATAAATCAGACAATACTCTCTCTCTAGGACCAGGCTGGAGATAAGCTAGTTAAATATTTGCTCACGATCACCTCTCCTACACTCTGAGCTGGCTCCCTACATTGTCACTTCCATGACTTCCTTGATTCTTTGCTTTCACTCGTTCCCGACTCTGTCACAATAGTAAAATGGAATATGTATGTTCTGATTTCCCTGCCAAGAGACTGGTCCTTACCACTCTAGCTGTGTGACCTTGGATAAGTCCCTTCTCCTCTCTCAACCTTTCTCCCAGCTCTGAAATGAGGGAGGTGGGAGAGGAGGTCTTCCAAGTCCCCTCTTCTTCTTCCATCTGGGGCTGTAAAACACCGGTCTGTTCCCTAATGGACTGAAATGTCTCGCTTTCTCCAGACCACAAACGTGCCTCTTTCCCCACCATGCAAAGGCATCGTGAATGTTGAAGGGAGAAAGTCCAGTCAGTGCTTCCCAGTGACCCAGCTCTTGGCTCTGGGCCACTGTGACTCAGGACTACGTCAGAGCTCTGAGCAAGCTCATGATCAAGTGTAACATTCCCCCTTCACCTTTTGGAAAGCATTCTTCCTCAGTCAGGCAGAAGGTAGCAATCAGCAATGACACAGCATCTTCCTCAAGAAAAAACACAGATGCCACAGAGTGATTCATAAGGGCTCGATGACACAGAAAGCTGAAATCTTGGGCTCATTTCCTTTCTTATTAGAACCATTATCATATTGCTTTGGCAGCAGCAAAAAAATTATAATAATAATAAAAATCATCCAGTTTGATCCAGCCAGTGCTGCAGCCCCAGTGGTCCCATTAATAAGAATGTTCTAAGCTTTGGGAGGAGATTTCTCAGAAATAGCTGCAAGTATTAACATCAGCTTAAATGTCTTTGTTAATGGCCCTGGGAAAGATAGTTTAGAATATGTCAATTTCATATCCAGAACTAATAATAGGAGGCAGAGCCCGTTACAGCTCACAGTGAGGGGCAAAGAAGAATTCAGAAGCTACAGGCACAGAGAAGCCAAGAAGGCAGCAAGGTTTGGGGAGAATCAGGTGAACCGATTTGGAGGCAAATATGTAGGTGGTCTGACCAGAATGGGGTTCTGTATAGTCCTAAACCCACCTTCTGGAAGTTGCGAGTCAAGAGCTCATTTCAGGCTTCATAGGAAATAAGTCACCAGTGTCTAAAACGTGTACCTGAGAAGCTGCTGACAAACCAAATTTCGGTGAAGGACTCATGTGGGATGGGAAGGGTCTTTATTAAAAAAGAAACCTGGGGACAGAATACATTTCTAATGTGAATGTGTTTTCTAACTGGAATTTTTGCAGAGTGGGATTGCTGTGCTTTGGGGCTGTGGATCATAGGCTTTGGTTTCAGAGGAGAAGCTAGCTGTGGCCTTGTATAGTGACATGGCATGTGGGAACTATATTGCCTTCAGCCAGGAGCGGGGAAATAAAGGGAGTTAAGAGACATGCCAAGCCCAAGGGATCATGGGAATTGAAGGCCCACAGGTGGTAGGTGTCAGTCCAAAGAACCTAAACAGAACCTTCGAAATGGAATAGGCTGAGTGGTGGATTTTCTAGCTCACAGAATCACACTGGCTGGGAGGTATAGGGTATCTTTTAGGATATTGATTTGTTTGCTTTGACAACTACTAAAAATAACCGTGGCTTGAACCAGATAGAGGGCTAGGGCAGCTCTGTTCCATGAGGTCATTCAGAGATCCAGTGTCCTTCATCTCAAAGCTCTACCATCCTCAGAATGTTGCCCCGTCTTTCTGATAGAAGAAGGCTGGTCGTCACCATGTTCACGCTCTGGCCGGGGGCGGAGGGGAGAGAAAGAGTAAGGTGGAGGGCTCAGGACCTGTTCCCGGCGCGTGGCCCAGGAGTTACACATAGAACTTCCGTTTACATCTCATTAGCCAGAACCTGGTCTTGTGGCCTCCCCTAGCTACAAGGCAGCCTTTGTTTTCTGGGTGGCTGCACGCCCAGCTCGGATAAGGGGACGTAGACCTGGGGGTGATCGGCAGCGTCTGCCGTACACAGAAGCAGTTCGTCCTGCGACATTTACCGTGCGGTGTGGGAAACCTGCAGACTGAGCTCACTTCTGTGAAAATGGGATGAACCCATGTGTTTCTCTGTTGTAGGTTAACCCAAATGGCCCAGCCTGGTGCTGGTGGACGTTAGCGGTTCTCCCACTGGAAAGCCGAGCTCAGCTCCCATTCCTAGCTATGAGGTCCTTAAAGGATAGACTGAACGGCATTCGGCGAGTCCTGGCCTTTATATCCCGAAACCAAAACTAGTGAGAGTGGATTGCTGAAGAGGAAGCCCCACCCTCCCCACCGCCCTGGGGGAGTCATCTTGTAAATATATCTAATTGCAATAACATCTTAACAGAAGGAAGTATCAAACAGGCATTTCCTTGCTGTTGGTCACAGAGAGAAATGTGTAGAAAGACCAAAAGCATGGGACCTGTTTGAAACTTTCTGTCTTAAGATGCTTCTTGACATGCTGCACAACGACATGCTCAGCAGAGGTGTTTAAAAGCCCAGAAGAAAAAAATTCCTTTGATTTCGACATAAACTTTTCCGAAAGTTTAAAGTGGTTTTGCTTTAATTTTCTTTCTTGCATAGTTAAGTGTGTGGTTGAAATGTGATGCACAGATACTAATAACGTTGTGTTATTTCACTGACTTGAGTTCTCATTCCAAATGGTTCAGGTTTTATACAGCATTGTGTAAAATAAGGTTCATCCTTCTATCTGTTTTAATAATTTATTTTTTGCACTACTGTATCCTTTTTTCTACATGTGTGTTTGTGACTATTTAAGTGTATGTTACTGAGAAGCCAGTTACTTTATTTATTAACGTGGTTTACCGTGTACCAAGGGGGAAATAACAGTACTAGAAATGTGCCATTTTTGCTTTCATCACATGTAACTGTGTTTTTTAAACCAGTTCTCGAACGATTTCCGGATCTACCCCATTGGAAGGTTAGAGGAAGTTCAGGGTCACGCAGAGATTACTGATCTCCGCAGGTTCCATTTGGCTTTCAGTTGGAGTTCAACAATATAAGATACGCAAGGGATTTGGCATACATTATGGAATAAGCCAGGGTGAGGTAAAATAATCCATTCTCTCTGTGTTATATGGAGCAGGGCTGAAGGAATGACTTTCTTTCAATGAAGAGATGAATCCGAGGGGCGTCTTTCAGAACAATCTGTTGTAGGCATTTATCTCAACAATCTAATTACAGCGTACCTCATTTCTCCCCAGTGCAGTTAGGAGTGGGATTCTGAGGCAGGATCATTTTTAACCCTTCAGAGGGAATGGTTTTCAGTCTGGCACATCATAGCCTCCATACCCCACCTCTTCTCAGGGTTCTGGGGATCACGACTTGGCTAGCACTCGTGCAAACACGTGAAGAAGAGCTCTTTGTTATTAACATGCAATGAAGCCAGTAGAAAAGGTAGAACCCTTAAAAAAAAACAAAAACAGAAAAACTATCTTTTCGGTTTGTAAAACTCTTTAAAGGAAATAGTGAATCCATGATTTTTTCTAAGCACTGCCTTCCCTCCCAAACGCCACAGGCCAAAGATAGAGGTATAGGGGAAGAATAGTGGGTAAGAAGGTAAGAGGGAGGTCTTGTTTAGCCTGCTTAGTGCTAGTGTGATTCCTTTAGTGCCGGGAGAACCTGAAAAATGCCATGAGGATGGCGTGTCACAATGACAATGGGGTGAAGAGATTAGGACAGGCAAGAAGTGTGTCCTGCCATTCGCACTGCCGTGCGCATTATCGCCTGACGTGATGCCGGACGGACACAGTGCCGTCCATCCACCCCTCTGAGGAGGGCTTAGTGCCTCAAGGAACCAATCTGGCTTCTTCTATCACCACCTCTGTCCAGAAACAGAGAAGGGAGAATGAGATGATCCAGGCAACAGAAAAGAGATTCACGTAAGCAGAAACTAAATGATCTTTTCTGCACTTGCCAAGTGGATGCTATATTGTCAGAGCATTATGTTACCAGGCATGATGTTTGCAGCCAGACTAGGCTAGTGAAAAATGGAAGTATAGGCGTGATTACTGCCCAAGCAAATTCTTCAGGGCTCAGGGAGCGGGAAATTAAAATCTCCCCCTCCCACTTGGTGCCCAACCATGAGGTCGTAGCACTAGGACTCTAGTGAAATATTGTCCCATCATCTAGTGCAAATGCAGCAAATGAAATGTCATAAGCATCTCCCCTTGGTAGATGTTTTTGTTTTATGATTTAACACTTTCTGGGGCCCAGGGTCCTTATCTAGGAAATGGCAGTGTTCAGTGCCACATGTACGGTTGTTATGAATGTTATATAAGGTAGTATTTATGTAAATCACTTAGCAGAGTGCCTAGCACCTAGGAGAGGTTCAAAAAATAATAGTTTTGATTAGGTTATTCATAGTTATAGAATATCATCAGGGGCCCATGTTTGCATAAAACACTGTCCGTACACACAGGACCCATATCTACTCCTTGAAACATAGTTGAGGGCATCCGCACCACTGATTCTTGGACCATAACTTGATGCTTTACAGTTAATTCCTTTTGGAGACAAGTCTGTTTGGGAAAATGAAAAGGCTAGGGAACAAATGAGGGTTAGAGACAAGGGAGATTTCTGGGCAAGTACATTTTCCCTTATTTCAATAGGACTAAAAAGTAGTGCTCTTTGGAGGTCTAGAATTTCTGATATAATGGAAGGCTTAAGTTCTAGCTCCATTTCAATAACCAGCTCATCACTCGCTCTTCAAAAAGTATTAAAAGTCTTGGCCATGCCAGAGTGAACGAGTTTTACAACCTGACTTTTGTGCTTATTAGTTCATGGGATTTCTTTATGCTGCTGCCAGAGAAATTTATTGTGAACCTACTAAGTACCAGGCACTGAGCCACGTGATTCCAGGTTCATTCCACAAACACACACGAGTTTGTGGAATCATTTATTTTCCACATCAGCCCTGTGAGAACAGTTATCATCCCCACATTACAGATGAGAAGGCTGGGGACCTGCAATGTTTAACATTTTGCCCAGATAACACAGCCAGTTAATAGCCAAGCTTGATTTTGAACCCCTTACTTCACAGATTTTTAACACTTTGGACAGTTTCTGTTACACATAATTTTATTAGATAGTCAAGGCAACCAAGTCACAAAAGTATGCCTCAGAAGCTCATGATTCAAATGGTAGTTGGGGGTTAAGTAAAATGCAGTTACCTCACACATCTTAATCTAGGTAGAAAGGAAAGTTTTTTTTAAAAGCAAAATTCTACATTATAGAATATTTCCTATTGATAAATGAGAACCTAACTCCAGCAAATGTAGATCTTGGCTGGGCAGAATTGCACTGTACTCTCGATAGCCTAAAAACACATTTGAGTTGTTTCCTAGCAAGCTTTTGTGTCAGCCGTGGTTGGAGGCCAGATGCAAGGCTGATGAGCCTTGGCTTTCTTTGGGATGTACTTGAATGGGGTAGTCAGCTGAACATGACCATTTTCACCACTTATAAATTGATTTTGCTGCCAAGCTTGGGTATGAAGATTGTACAGAGAAAAGACGTCAGGCTAAATCTAGGCCAGAAGTACAAGACTTCCCCCTTGGTAGATTGTGCCATTTATTTGGATAATTTTCTCATTTTAACCTAGATTATACCTAGATTATTTTCTGTGTGTATATATATATGTGTGTATATATGTATATATGTGTGCATATATATATATTAGGTACCAAGCAGATATTATGCCTTTCTGCTTTGTACTGTACTACTGCTGCTAGCTAATACCCAGCAAAATGTAGAAAATGAAAAATGTTAAACTAATTTTCTGTAGACAACTTGGAGAAAAGGGCACCTGCCCCTGACTTAATAGGGCCGAGAGACTTGACTATTTTGAGAATTTGCCTTTTCTGAAGGCTGACTGCATCTAGCCCCATGGCGTTTCTAGCTCTGCCTGCGGGGCTGGCCTGGGCTCAGTTAATCCCCTGTGACTGGCCGTCAGAGCCGTGGAGCTCCTGAGGCTGGTTCACAGCACCCAGAGGTCTCTTACTGTCAAACAGATTGCATGCTGTGGATAGACCAGAATCCATCAGGGACTGTGCTCCCCCTGCCAACTCCATTTCCAGGTTGGGAGCTTCATTCAAGGACTCAGAACTTGAGTTCCCAACATGTTGCCTTTGCATCCGTTTCTGTTTATCAAGGCAAAATCGTAGCAGAGGCGTATAATAAGGATGCAAATGGAAGGCAGCCCAGATAATGGAAAAGGACAGATTTTTCAGCCCATCTGGGGCTTGAGGAGTGAGGTTTTGATTTAAGATTGAAAGCAGTTCTGCAAAGCAGGCCAGCCGCATGGGCTACAGTGTGTGCCCCTTCCTGAGTGCAGAGGGAGACAAGGAAAAGGACTCACATACAATGTACGCATTCAGTTCCTCTTAGAACGATAGCTCCCACTGTTCAACTGTTTAATAATCCCGGTGATGCACATCCCGAGGTGAAATGAAGTTGTTCTCACTTACAAGTGGTTATTTTTCAATGCGCTAAGTTAACCTTGAGAGAGAAGTGCCTGTAATCTCCGTTCCTCGTGTCCTTTTAAAGCTTTTGCTTCACGACTCTGTAGCCGTTTAAAAATTTGTCGCAGCAAATGTGATTAACAGAAGTTTACAAAGCAACTCGTTAGCTTGTGCGTCATGTTAAAAATTGCCTAATGTTTCTCTATTGTCAAAGCAACAACAATAAACAGCAAAATAAAAGGAGCGCAAATAGGCCAATATGGCATCATAGGCTTATCTTAGATACACTAGCTCCATCTTTTCAGGCCGTCCTCAGTCCTGCCAGGATTAAAATCTCAAGCAGGCCGTGCAAACAGTGGCAAATGCGTGGGTGCGCTTGTTAGCCCGCTTATTTGTTCAGCAGCCATTTTACTTTCCCACTGTAACAAACTGGAAGGGGAATTAAGATAATGCTTCCTCTCCGCCCCCATGTTGTTATTCAACTACCTCTATATGCTTGCTTTCTCTTTATGGGTTTCTTTCTTCCAAATCTGTGCAAAATGCTGTTTCAACTCTTCTATGTTGTAATAACAATGTGATTGATATAGACTTTTGCTGTGAAAGATGTTCATGCATTAAAAATGTTTCCTGTCGTTTCACTTTATATCTAACAAAGCTCGACCCGTAACCTTTGGGCGAGAATTACCTAAATAAGTCATCATTTTGTTGGAAGCCGAATAGAAGGGAAAGCTATTGGACCATCTATTCTGTTCTTGTTCCTGTTGCTTGAAATACATTTGATCAGAAGATCTCTCAAAGAAGTAGATTTTCACTCAAACAGTTTAAGCTCTCACGCATCTGACAGTGAGGCTGGCGTGAGCTAGTTAATGTGACTGATGTGTTCTGAAAACCTGGCCATAAATTGTCTTTCAAAAATGCAAAAATTGTTTAAAAAAATCTTGTTATTTGAAGACTTATGTTGAGTGTTTTGCCAATAACCCACCCCTAGTTTGTTTGCAGATCCGTCCATCTGTTCGGTTTGCTTCAAACAGAATACACTACCTACCGTTTTCTTTGCCAATATAAAATGTTTGTGAAAAGCAAGTTACGTGTTTTTATTTGCGCCAGACTGTTTCTCCACGATAGGCTAAAGCTAAGGCTCAAAGTGTGAACCCTTTGATGGGAAAACTGGTAAAACTGGGACAGTGGGCAATACTGACCAAGCTGGGTTCGGCAAGTGCAACTCAGCGACATCTTTTCAGTACTAGTTTTAAGTCTCCTGCCATGGAAGACTTTATGCAGTGTCTGTTTCACCCTGGCAAACAAAATACAGTGGAGTGGGACAATGAAAATGATCGCATATCCCACTTGGCTTGACCTTCCTGTAACAGGGTCTTTTGTGTAATTGAGAAAAATGAAAACTCCTGGCCAAGTAGATCCCAGAGGAAATACTTGGCTCTGTTGGACTTCCGGGCCCAGTCCACCCCTGTCTGGTGGTCAGGAGTTGGAGCGCACCCCGGCCAAAGGCACAGTCTTCCCTCCCAGGCAGTCCGGGCCAGAATGCCTGCGTAACTCTCTCTGGAGAACTGCACTGGGTCATCTAAAAGGAAGGTCTGGTTTGCAGTTGCCCTCCGGGCCTTGGGCAAAGCCAAAGCCAACACTTTCTGCTTCCTCTCCTCTGGGATCCACCCTGGCTCCACTCCCGTGAGTTCTCTGCGGCCAAAGATGCCTCCCTGGAAGGAACTCCCTGTCTCCAAATTAGATCAGAGCAAGAGAAGGAAAGAACAAATGCCCTAGACCCACAGGGTACTAGATACTTCTACTTACCCTTCCTGCGAGGATTTCATCGCTCCCGAGAGGGGCTGAGGTGGGATGGGAAGGGGCCGGTGTCGGTACACCCGATGCTGGCTTCTTCCAAGGAATGCAGGAATTTCCCAGCTGGCCTTGTCCACACTCAGCCCAATGTAAAGGCAGGTCCTGGTCAAGGCAGGAGGGTCCCGGCCCCCAGGAGCCCTGCCTCTGGATCTCCGAACCCCTTTCTCCCACCCTTTCTGGTTTTCTGTGACTGCCTTTCCCTTCCCACCCTATCCTGGCACTGGCCAGCCATCCATGTTTACTGTCCGCTTGGATACACATGCATTAGCAAGTAGCATTATTGCTTTAGAATGCCCCGAAAACCACTTTCCTCCACTTACTAAAGTGCCGGCCCCGACCCCCGCTGCAGAGCGCTGTCTCGCTCCCAGTGAGTCCCTGGGAGCCATTTCTGGAGGCCACAAAGTATAACACATTAAGTCCTGAAATAACCCACTCACCCAAAGTCTGGTTTTGCTCTCAAAAGCTTGCTTCTTGCATTTTAGAGGTGCGGTAGGGGAGTATCTGGCAGAGGCAGGGGGTGGGCAGGGGAGATCACCACCCCTTTGGCCCATCAGGGTATCGGTGGCCACCCCCCATGCGCTGCTACATTCCCAGGGCCACGTGCTCGTCCTGCAAGTGCACACATGCTCTTTCACCAGAAGACCAGTGGTGACGGGGAGCGCTGGGCCCACATGTGGCTACCGGCCCTTCTGCTGGGGCTGTCCACGGGGATGAGTCCACTTGATCGTGGCTAGCCAGGACGACTGGAGTGGCTCCTGAAGTCTGAACGACCTAAGTCGCCTCCTCTTGGCTGCAACTTCATGCATCCTCTTCTCGTAGTCACTGGGTTTGGTCTTCTGGCCCGACTGGGGAGGCCGTTTATGCCCAAACCCAAAGTGCGGGCATGTGCTCAGGAATCAAGGAGTCCTGTTCCTACACCCCCAGGCATCCACGAGCTCAGCTGATGTCTGTTGAATGTTCACAGCATGCCAGGCTCTTTTCTAGCGTTTTCTTTCTTTCTTCTTTTTTTAAGCATTTAGCTTCTCATTCAATCCTCGCTATAACCTACAAAGTAGATCTCCTTTCCCAGGTTATAGGTGAGAAGACTGCGGCATAGGCTGGTGATGTCACTTGCCTGTGGTCCTCACCATGAAAACCTGGGGCGGCCTGATTCCAGAGCCCACACCTGCTACTATGAGTTCCCCATCCTGCAGTGGCGCGGACCCAGGAGAGTGACTCAGCTTGCAGATACCCCGTGGGGGGAACTTCCAGAAATAATGACAGCAGAAGAGCGGCACCAGCAGCTCCCATGTATCGAATGGGCACTACGTGCTGGGCACGGAGCTCAGCATGATCTGATTTAGTCCGACGCAGGTGCTGTTGGCACCCGCCCTTGACCGAGGAGGGGACACTGTGGGCTCAGACAGCCTGGATTCCGAGCCCAGCCTCCCTGCTTCCCAGCTTTGTGGCCTTCCACAAGTTGCTTTCTCTTTCTGAGCCACGGGGAGGAGAGTGGCCGGCCTGGATTCCTGGATTCTAGCATCTTTTTTCTAATTCTAGTGCCCCAAAAGGCTTGCCCCTCAGCCATCTTTGGAGGTCTCCTCCATGAAGGCGTGTCTCCCTAGTGACTACAAACTCTGGGGGTGCCCCGGTTGTCCCCAAGGCTTGCCCAGCTCGCCCTTCCTCCTCCCCACACCTGTCCCTGCTTGAAGAATCTTCTGCCACAGAAAGACAGACAGAGATTTGGAGACTCAGAAGGTAATTCAAATAAGAAAATCCAGAGGCTGCAATCCCATAGTTCTAGAGTCATCCTTCCCAGAACCGGAAGAGGCCTTAAGAAATCATCTAACTCAGTTTCCTGCTTCCGGCTCGTATTGTTCTCCATGAGGTGACAGCCAAGGCCAATGTAGAGCC